AAAATAGTACCATGTCCTTAAAACTCCAGAAGTGGAATATAACATTAGGAGGATATGATTTTAATATAAAGTATAAAGCCGGTAAATATAATGTTGTTCTTGATTGTCTCTCGAGATTGCGACAAGAATGTCATGATGAAGCTGTTGAAAATATTACCATAATAAATGACTATGGGGATTTATCTATCAATTTTAATCAAATTTGTGATGAAACCTTGAAAGATATTGAATTAAAACAAGTCATAAATGATATTAAGAACGACAGGCCTATAAAGAACAATATCTATAAAAACATTGAATCGGAATTAAGTATAACTAAGGATTGTCTTCAGGGGCTTCGCTAGCCTTTACAATCTCAGGGGGCTCAGCTAAAAAAAAATTTATGGGGGGGGGGGGCGATTTCTAAAAATAATATTTTTTAATACAAAATCTATTTATTACAGTATAAAATATTTTCGATTGCTGATATAAAAAAATTTTGCGTAAATAATTACAAGTGATAAAAAAGGTTAATTAATTCATACATATGCCTCAATTGATAATGGTTTTTAAAAACCACATAAGGAAATATAATTCTAGCAAATTACATTGACAAAATGTCATGACACTCACGATGATAACCCATATCAGAATTTATTATGTTAGATAAATTGATAAAACAAAGACAGTAAAATTCTTTAGAAGAAATTATGCAAATATATTGAAGTTTTGAGTTATTTACACGGCAAGGATGCCATATTAGAAATGAAACATTATTTAACTATAAAATAAGAACCAGAGTGTTATGATGAAAGTAATTAATATTTTATATATTATTGTCGCACCACCTCTAGTTGGTTTATTATATCTTAAAATAATAATAGATTGTAACGATATTAAAAATATATTAAATTCTCAAAACTGTTTTTCAAAGAAGAAAAAAATAGCTTTCCTAAAAACACGTAAAAAAAGAGAAGAAAAGATATCTAATTTATTACATTCATTGTGGGATGAATAATAAGAAGTTTAATTTTAATAACATATTTAATAAATAGAAATAATTGAATGCAAATTGTAACTTATATTTATTATCAAAAGCATTATTATTAAGATTTTAAAATTAAACTGTAATATATTATATAAATGTCAAATATGTCTGTAAAGATGGCATTTTACCTAATATTTTATAAATAATAATATATTATAAAGGATTATAAACTATTTATCTACTTACTTTTTATAAATAAATATCTTATACTCATTTGGATTTGGACCTTGAAGATAATTTTAGAAAGATACATGATAATTAAAAGTCAAAATATAGTTGATTAGTGATTTTGAACTCGGCTAATTTTCAATTAAAAAATGATTATATTTATTTAATTAAGGTTATATAATAATTTAAATAATAAAAGTCAATTAAGCTTCAATTGTTAATTCTAATTTAATATTTAGTGAGTGATATTGATATATTTTTAACACAGAATTTGATTCCAAGTTGACAGAGTGAACATATAATTTATATGTAAAATCTAATCTAATAATTAAAATCGTATTCATTTAATAAAAATTTAGATAGTTTTATTAATTTTTAATAAAATTAAATCTATATATTACTTAATAGAATTATAGAAGAAATCATTCAGGGGGAAATTAAAAAATTTTATTTTTAGTTCAAGGAGATATTAAGGAGCAATTAAAAAAAAATTTTGCTTCAGGGGGCTATTCAAATTTTTCAGAGGGCTCGAGCGCCTGCGCGCCCCCTCCTAGCGACGCCACTGATTGTCTTTACAAAAGCAACAAAATCATAATTCCGTTTTCTATGAAGAAAAATGTACTACAGTCATTACATGAAGGTCACTTGGGAGCAGGAAAAATCAAATCCTTAGCCAAAGATTACATGTGAGGGTCTGGTATAAATAATGACATAGAAATGAAAGTGAAAAGTTGTGACGATTGTAACGAATATTATGACAATCCTAAAAAGATACAAAAACCATAGGTTTCGGCAACCAAACCGTTTGAAAGGATTCACATAGATTATGTGGGTCCGTTCTTCACAAGGAATTGGTTGATAATAGTCGATACCTACAGCAAATTTTTAATTATTGTTCCTGTTAAAAATATTACGACCGATAATTTTTAAAACTATTTCGTTATATGGAATACCTGAAACTATAGTTATTGATAACGGCACTAACTTCTCAAGTAATGATTTTGAAAATTTTTGCAATGATTATGGTATCAAACATGTGCTCACGTCTGCTTATCACCAGCAATGGCCAGGTAGAACGCATGGTGAGAACGTTCAAAACACATATGAAAAGGAATAACAAAATTGACTTAGACATCGCACTTGACAAATTTTTATTTAATTACAGAAATACGCTTAATGATACTACAGGAGTTACACCTTCTAAGAGAATGTTCAATCCAGATATTAAAGTTAAATGGGACTTATTAAAACCGTTGGAGAGAAAAAAATAAACGTTACTTTACCACGAAATAGAACTTTTAACGTAGATTTTGTTTGGTACAAAGTACAAGGTGATGACAAATGGTGTAAAGGCATAGTCACACACAATGAAAGTGACATGATGTTCCAAATTAAGACAGATAAAGGTATTTTGAGGAGACACTTAGATCAATTAAGATTGAGAAACTGTTTTAACACACTTATTAATTATGACTCTAAGGATTCTTTTAAGGGGGGAAGTGTGGACAAAAATATAAAAATTACTGATACACCGATTTATAGACCAGTGCGAATTAAAACCTTCTTATTAAGACTACATAACTTAAAATATAAAAATAAATTAAATATTAAAATGCATAAAGTAAAGTAAATATTAAATACACTAAAACGCAAATGAAAACGCTGAAAAAATTATATAACAATCTTATTGATTTATCATTTCTCATTTATTTTTATATATCTAACTTGATGAACTATTATTTCTCATTATTCGTAACTTACTGATGATAATAACAATTTTGAAAATTGATAATAATAACGACTGAGTACACATAACAAATTCACGATTTATAAAGATAACTTACGATAAGGATATCAAGCTTACGATTTAAACATACCAACGTGCAAAATCAATTTAAACAAACCAACGATTGGGACAAGCCAACGATTACTATGACTTATGAAGCAACTTGATGGTAAAAACGTTAAAACACTTGGACAACGAACTAATTATGACAGCTTAATTAAACTTATGAGAAGGCTTCTTTAGAAGAAGGAGAATGTTGAATAATATAAATTATAATGTGTTATTCGTATTCTATCTTTATTTTAGTTTTATAAATAGTAACTGTGTTATTCATATTATGTCTTTATTTTAGTCGTAACGTATATTTTTCATATTATATCTTTATTTTAATTTTACTTTCAAATTATATTTTCATTTTAAAAAATAATAGTTTTACTTTTCTTCAAAAATAATGAATCATCTGTCTAGTCTATTATTTATCATTCTAAGATACTAACTAAAACTAAAACATTCAAATTCAGGATAAAAATTTCAAAATTTATTATCTTCTTTACAAGTTGTCAGTATATTGTGAAATTTAACAGGGAGTTAATAAGAATGACCCGTCATCTTAAGCGCTAAATAAGCTTTTTTTCTGGTAAATATGTAATGTGATTTAGTTTCTCGATATGTAAATCATCTTTATTCCTTTACTATTTCTAGCAAGACGACTGGGAGCTTGAAAATCGAAATCTGTCAAAAAATCCTTTTTTTCAATCAGAGCGACTAAAAAAAAAATTAATTCGGGTTGCATTAAAAATTTCAACCTTTTCAAGTCCAAAAAATCCAATTTGGTTAATTTTTAAAAACATCCTTTTTAATATAATGGCTAAAATAATATTATGCAAAATTCGAGATTTGGCAAATAAAAAGCCAAACATTTCTCCCATCCCTGAGCACTCCAGGCTTGCATAATATTATATTGGGTAAATCTCAATCGGCCACTTTCTAAAAGTCGCCCAAATTGGTTTTGTAACAAGGCTAGTCTCTGGTTTTATTGTTAGTTAAAAATATTACAACATACAAAAATTATATATAGCCTTTTTGATCGCTAACTTTTTAAACCCCATAATGTCCTTTTCTAATCCTAAATGGATATAATAAGAGAGGGGAGTGTCTATAAGAATAAAATCAAAACTATGCAAAAGTTGTATTATATGGCCAAAAAAATAAAATTTTTATTGCCACAGTCATGTAGTTCTTATTTTTAAGATTGGGGATAATTTTTAGTCGTACAAATTTTTCATAGCCAATTTTCTAACTATTTTACATAATACATCAAATGGAAAAAGAGTAAAAAAAGAAGATCTTTTATCACTATAAAAATTTGAATTCTTGAGAAAATTCCTAATCCAAGATTTTATGTGAACAAGACACTCAGTTTATTTTTCAAGCCCTGCACATGTTTTTATTTGTTATATCAAATAATATATGTTATATTATTTATGTGTATCATAGAAACCTTGAAAATATGAGCAGCAAACGAATGTTAACAAGCCAGATATCATACGAATTTAAAATTTATAAACAATTGGCCTTACCCAGAGTTTGTAAAAAAATAAAGATTTTTTATGCAGAAGATGCAGGATTTTAAAATTGTTTTATGGTCCAATCCGATATAACACCGGCTTAGAGTATATTTATATTTTATCTGTTCTATGATGCAATAATTCTTTTCCTTTTTGTTACAATTATAAAATAATTGAATCTATTTTAATTTTAAGATGGCTTGTTTAACGGATAGTGGGAAGGCTTTACCTTAGATTTGATATAGAATTATATAAAAATATCGGGCTTCATCTCCATGAAGATATCCCTAACCCACCCCGACTCCTCGACCACACAGATCCAAAGAACGATCTTTACAAGGTCTCATTTTTCCATATTAAAATTTTAAATGGCAATTTCGAGAAATATCATATGCTTTTCAATTTATTGTATACCTTTGGGAATTTTAAAATCTCTTATAAAATTTAACGTGTTTTAAAAAATAAATCAGTCCACTTTTTGCCAATATTTTAGATGCCATTCAATTCTAATAAATTCTCTATTAAATATAATAATTGATTCCAGAAGATGTAAATTTATGGACTTTTTCAAATTAATAATATATATATATATATATTTTTGAAATTTTATATTCAATTAACTATCAATTTAAGACTTAAAATATATTTTTTTTAATAGAGTATGGCTGCATTAAATGGACTTGATACATCTATATCAAATTCAAATTCTCACAAATTTGGGAGTTTAACCTTAACAAATCCTGAAGAATTTGTCATAAGATTTGGTGGAACAACTCTAATCAAAAAGGTTAAATATGATATTTTTTACTCTTATACAATACACTTTCTTAGTATTCCTAAATTTTTATCCACATATTTTAGTTTAATATGCTGTTGACACCTAAGAATGTTCTATATTTTGAAAAATTCAATATTATTTTATATGCCTATTACTGGATAATTTATGAAATTTATATTAAGATATCTAAAAATAATATTTTGAAGTTTAAAATATTGATATTATAGTTGAAATAAAATGTATTACACACAAGTTTTTGCTAAATATTTTAGCAGCTCAGGGTTTAAATAAATTCTACAGGCCTTCAATGTACCTATATCTAAAAAAAATCATTAAATAGGCAGTTTATTTTATTAAATTGACAATATTTTTGCCATTCATTATGGTAAAATAAATTATTTGTGATAAATGACCAAATCTGGTAATATTAGGCCCCTTCATAAGCAAATACTTTTAATGTATTTGATTTTGTCTTTTTTATTAACAATAAAATGGCATCTGATATAAGTTGTTTTTTAAATAGTATATTAAGCAATCATTTTAAAACAAAAAGAAACATAATCTCAAATAAAGTATTAGATTAATTGTCATTATTTGATCTAAATATATTAATTTATATTTCTGTTGATAAATTAAAATAAAATTTGAATTTAAGGAAATTTATTAATATGACCAATATATTATTATTAAAATTTTTTTTATAATTTTCACATATATTTATTGATAATATTATAAACAATCCAAGTTATTTATTACACAGTTATCTGGAATGCCATTTAAATATAATTTTCATTATTTATAAGTTATAGCAGCATCAATAGATTTTCTCTCTTTATCCCTTTTTTTCATAATTGCATATCTTAATTAACTATCATAAAACATGAATTATATATATTTTGTAATTCCAATCATAACATATAAAAAAATAAAATTCCTTGTGTTCTAATGTATTACCCCCTATATTTTTTAAAAAATTTGAAGTTCTGCTTGACTTATATACAAGGAAAGAGATAATGATTGGTAAAAAGCATAATTTGCTAATTTAGAATATTTTTTCTTTTTGGCCATATCAACTGGATTAGAATTTACATTTTTTTTGGAAATGAAGACACCCATGTGAAGTCCCAAATTAAGGATTTTCCTAAAGACCAAAGTACAGAATTTAAACCACCAGGCATGGCCATCATTTGATTATAAATTAGCAGTCTCCAAGATGTTTGGTATTTTTGTAAGAGTTTGATTAAATACTGAATTAATTGCTTCATAGCTTGCATCTCTGCTTTGACTATTCATTTAAAATTGTATACATTGCTTACACTTTTTTATGTTATTACATTTGTTAATATAAATATTATAATAAAAATACATAAATTTATCTGGCGAATAATATTTTAGTGAAGTAATCTATTATATATATATATTTTTTTAAATTTTACATAAATCACATATTAAACCATATAACATAGATAAAAAAATTAAAAATGATATTTAAAAATAAAATATGAGATAAAATTAGAAAAATTTATGTAAACTAATTTTGCGTAGATATAAATATCCATTAGGATCGTTGGATAGCTCTATAAGCTTTTTTCCTATAGATTTTAAAAAAGATGAGGGCCTCTTACCTAGAAATTGCTAAGTGTTGTGGTGGCCAGGGGCATCAAAGTAGTATTTGTATCAGGAATTAGTTTTAGCTATTTTCAGAGAAATTGAATTTTTCAATGGGTATTTGTATTTGGCAAATATATCTGCAGATTATGATACCTACCTTTTCTCTTAGACCACTTATCCCTTCTAAATATTCATTTTGCTTATTCTGCTTGTAATTGACTATCCTATTATATTTGTCCTGTTTTGAGGTTTATCATATTTTCAATAAGTAGTGAATCATATTAGCTTTAAATGACAATTGGTCTCTTTTGGGGGATATACTTTTTTTGCGCAAATTATTTAAATTTATAATTTGAAATATTTTGTTCCCGAAAAACGCTTTTTTAAAATAAAAACGTTTTGTTTGGACGCGTTCTTAGTAAATTTTTATGACACCCTCTATAAACCCCTAAAAGTGTCTAAAATTAATTTTATTCCGTGAGAGATTATTAAATTTCTCTTTTAAAATTTTATTTTTTGCTCGAAAAATATTATTTATCTTAAATCTGTTGGTGTCAATTTATGTCAAATTCCTTCCTAAGCCTCGAATTTTAAGATCAAACAAAATTTTTTTGGTGAATTTTCATTCTAAAATACGTTATTAAATTAATTAAGAAGGAAAATTTAATCTCTTTGAAGCTGAACCATTATCCTCCTCTCATCTCTGTGCGTGCCAAATTCTTAACTGGATTGCACGAAGAAAAATTGTCGAAATTTCACTTTCTCTCTTACGAAGTAAACTATAAGCACAAACGCTGTTGCCAAAAAAAAAAATTCTTTTTTAATACTGTTTGCAATATAAAAAAATTTTTTTTCCATTTAATATTTACTTTATTGAAAAATCATTCGAATACTAATTTTTTTTCAAAATTTACAAAAAAAACAAATAAATCGTTGATTTTAACATTATTTCTTTCTTTCTTTCTTTCTTTCTTTCTTTCTTTCTTTCTTTCTTTCTTTCTTTCTTTCTTTCTTTCTTTCTTTCTTTCTTTCTTTCTTTCTTTCTTTTCTTTCTTTCTTTCTTTCTTTCTTTCTATAGTGTATAATTAAAATTTTTTTTTTAAAGATAGATAATATATGTTGCTAGGCTAAAACTTGCGATGTCTCTTTAAAGCAAAATGTGAATGCCATTAGGAATATAGATAGCCAATTTTACCATTAATCAGGAAATCATTCGATCAAAATATTCCTCTAGGAAAATTCGCTAAAATAAAAATACATCCACATGTCATTAAACTTTATTGATGGCTATTTTCTCTTAGCTCTCCTATAATTTTGCGCTCTTAATTTACTTTTTTTTAAATCTAACTTAAAACGATTCATAGCGTCGAACCAATGACATATAATAATACTAATAATGCACTTGAAAGCGTAGTTGAATGCAAATCAGCTGGAGCCGCCATTTTGGTAACCCGTATAAGAATTATTCTCGTGTTATAAAACTATTAAATTGATAACTTTGCTTCCATATTATTCTCGATGATCAGGCAATTCTTTGATAAAGTTTGCGTCAGACATAGGTTTAAGAATATTTAATAAATGATATGGGTAACCAAAATGGAGCCCCCAGCTGTTTTTCATTGATGTACACTTTTAATGAATGCATCGTCAGTCTGGGTATTATTATTTGTCATTGCGTCGAACATATGATTTCTATCCCCCCCAAAAAATGGAGTAGTATTTGTAATCATTGACACGTAAAAATGATTTTCGGTTCTTTTGACCTCAATCGATTTGTGGTTGATTTTTGTAAAAAATAAATATTGATTGACACCGGAAAGATTTATATAACATTTGAATTTAAAATTTAATTTTTCCAGCGCCATTTTTTTTTTTACTCGCGGAACAAAATTAGTTAAATGAACTTATTAATAATAATATAAATAATATTTATGACTTCAAAATCAACATTATTCTTTTCCGGAAGAGAGAGAATGAATGGAAGGAAGATGAAATATTTTTTTTTTAGTTTTTAATAAATAATTGATGAAAATGATTTATTGTATCGATCAATCAAATCGTGCAGATTCTGATAGCCAACAATGGGATAGCTGCCGTCAAATGTATGAGAAGCATCAGGCGCTGGTCTTACGAAATGTTTCGCAACGAAAGGGCCATTAAATTCGTGGTGATGGTAACCCCCGAGGACTTAAAAGCGAACGCGGGTTTGTGGAAAAATTTAAAAATAATCCATTTTAAAAAAAAATTTATGTAACTATATGTATCTGTAAACAAAAATAACTGTTATCTTCTAACGAAAGTATTATTATAAATGAATGCTTCTTACATGGCACACCATCCGATCCCCTATAACTATTTCTACTGGAGTCCACCATTTCTAAATTCTTAAGACCACATAAATTGGGACAGATAATCATTTGTTATATTCATCCACTTCTTTACCATTCTATATGCGAAGATTTACTTTTCCATCATTTATTTATTCATACAACTATCGGTATATAAATGAACAATTTTTTGTTAAAAAAAAAATTTAAATCTAGTTTGATATTCATTGTTAAATGTTTGATTTTACTAACATTGGGCCTACCCAACAATCGTATACTAATCATTCTTCCTCTCAAAGTTAGTCTTTAAATAACCGTCCAAAATTTTAAATCTATTTCGCTCATTAAAAAAAAAGCTGTTTTATAAATATATATTTTTTTTTCTTCCTTATTTCTTTCTTTTTTAACTTAATTTTGCGTTTTTGTTTTTGTTTATGTATTTTAATATTATTATTTTACTCTAAAACTGTCCACATTTAAAAAAAAAACAAAAACTAAGCAGTTCAATTTAAACAGAACACTCAATTTGTAAGGACTATTTTGATTCGTTAAAAATAAAAAAAAATTTAAATTATTGCTCATTTTAAAAGTAACGACTTCATATTACATTTTGTATGTTTTTGACAGAATACATAAAGATGGCCGATCAATATATACCGGTCCCCGGAGGTCCGAATCATCACAATTACGCTAACGTGCCACTGATAGTCGAGGTATAAAACTTTTGGATAGTAATGAAAGGCGTCAAATATTTTAGTGACTCGCCTCATGTCACGATACATTTTTAATACGTATCTTTTTTTTCTATTAACTCGGGGGGTGTGAACTCGACAGGAAGGGTTCGGGTTCGGTGATTAAAAATTTATATAAAATATAAACCTTCATATTTTTTAAAATCTAAATGTAGGAAAATGTAAATTTTTTTAAAAACGTTTTGCAAGTGTGAGAAAATTAAATTACAAATCGAAATGATAGGTAGGTCGTCACGCTTACAAGGTAAGAAAAGAATTTTACTTCTCTTTCAAGTAGGATCCTGATGAGGTTGGGTAGAATACACTGACCGTATCTGTAGAAAAAAAAGGGATATGTTACTCACAAACGACGAGTTTCAGATCACCATTGTTCATAGGCTAGGTGTCATTCTTTCTGTCGACACTTGAGTTGCCAGTAATAAACAGGTAGATCCATTGGGTGGTCATTGTTTCTCCTGTCTCTATGTCAGCGCCACTATTGGGGCATTAAAATTTTTAATAGGTTGATTGGCTAGCCTTTTATTTGTACCGGTTTCCCCAATAGTTTGTTTGCCGTTATGCCTTTTAACGAGAATGGCAACAAACATCCCGATTGTATGTCCTTCACCGCCTTGGCACAGCGTTGAAAGAATTGCACGGGATGTTGTGCCATGCTTCACCTCATTCTCTTCTAATGTGAACACTGACCTATTTGCGTATAAATATAGGTCCCCGTTAAATTGTTTCATTTTTTTATTCTTCTTATCTTCAGTGTTTTGCGGAATTCCGTTTCCCGATGCTAAATTTTTAAAAAAAAATTAATTAGGCTATAAGATATCATTTAAGGAACTGGCGAATAGAAAGATTCGCTATTCCTATAGCTGCAACATATTTTGATTGCAATTAATAAAGATCTTCTTATTCTCCGTTTATTAGCGATTTCCAGGTTTAACCAGGTTGGCCAGTTTTCCCTCTGATTTATTCATTAGGGAATTTTATTGCTAGGTTTCTTACAATCGGATGCCCTTCCTGACATCAACCCCTTTTAAGTGGTTTTTAACACCCCGTCTAGGAGACGGTGATTCTATTCCAGATCCAGACCACGGGGAAACAATTAATAAAGATATAAATATAAAATATATATTCTGTCTGTCTATATTGACGATTTGAATTTTTGGCCGGGCCGAAAATAATTTTTGAAAAAAAAATATCCGGGCCGGGTCGGAAAAAATATCCGGGCCGGGTCGGGAAAAAATCCGGGCCGGCCTGCACTAATGGTACTTCTGCAAGTCTCTGATTTTTTATGTTAAATATTATTTCATGATATTTACCTATACTTAATTCTCGATTTTTTTAATTATCAGAATTTTTTATTTAAAAATAATATATAATTTACTTTTATCGTGAATTGAAAAAAAAAAGAGGAAAAGAACCGATTTACTAAACATCACAATTTTAGGTTTCAAACATAACATCAATTTGTGATAAAGTGTCGTGAGGCGTTCGAACTCTTAAAGTTTATAGATAGCAAGTAGCATTTATAGCCAAAAATTGGATATTTTTGGCATTCGTCGTATTAAAAATTTTTTTTATTGTCTGCTTACTAGTTAGCTGTAATAAATTGCGAATAATATGTAAAAGTAGGAGTTGCACATATAATGTAATTTTAAATTGTTCTTCCTTCATCGTAATTATAAACACATGTTAGATATATTTGCTTAATTAAAGAAAGGACAGATGAAACATTTGTATAGTTTAATATATTTTTTTTTTGTAACGACTACCAAACGCTAGAGTACGTACCCCGGATTTTCTTGTAGAGGTGGGGAGGAGGGCACTATTATAGTGCGACCTAATTGAGCGTTCTTGAAAAAAAAGAAGCAAATCATTTTGCGTTTTTATTGATTACACCATATGATATACATTGTTTGCGTTTTGCATAACGAAACGGAAACGATGTATTTCAAATTTTATCACACTATTAGGCTGGGTATTCCGCCATAAATTTTATTGGAAATCTTAACGTCCACCTACTCTAGACCTTTGGTTATCTTATACTTTTCTAAAAAAAAATTTGAATTATAGTAGCTATTTTTAAAGGTTATTAACTTTTTAAATTATCGTTGTTTTTAGTGATATATTTGTTATATACTTTTTTTCGAGGGGGAGGTGATAATGTTTATTCGCTTAAAATGATATTTGCGATGACAGGCAAATTTTCCGATAAGATGGGAAAGTTTCCTACCCACAAGTTACATCTATGGTATCGCCCTTCTTTAGAATATTTAAATGAGTGATGTCCTTAAATCGAAATAGCGAACCAGAACACCGCTTTACCATTTACAAAAAGTTCCATATTGTATACCGTAAAATAAAAATGTACGTCGTTTCGCCTATCCACGTCGCCTTTGATGACGCTAAAAGGTGGCAGGTCGCTGTTAAATTTTTGAACATCGTGTGGCCACTGACAGCTTCATCAGCGCACAGCGCTAAGTTATACCACATGTTTTTTGAAGGATTTAATAGTCTAAGAGAAACGTTAATATCTCGCGGTTATTTTTATACGATATTAACGTGTATACTCGCGATAATCACTTTCAAGGGATTTCGATAGTCTTGACTCTAGACTCGCTTGAGAGAATGTATACCGCGAACATTATCGCCATTTTTCTTCCCTTTTAAACTTTTCTATACCACCGTGGATTTAAACTCTGCACTAGGTATGCGCGAGAGCCGGAGCCGACGCTGTTTGGGCCGGTTGGGGCCACGCTTCCGAAAATCCGGCCTTGCCCACCGCCCTCGTTCAATTGGGCGTCGCCTATTTGGGACCACCAGCCTACGCTATGAAAGCTTTGGGGGACAAGATAGCGTCTACAGTCGTGGCTCAGAGTGCCAAGGTTCCCACCCTGGCATGGAGTGGGTCGGGTGAGTTTGATAATTTATTTTTTTCATAATTTTCTTGATATTCAATTCATCTGGATTAACGATCAAATTCTAGCCTCTAAGCCTTGCAGCATCAGTTTCTGGGTAATTCCATCTCATATCGACCAAAAAATAACGTGATTTTCGGACGACCATTTTTAAAAATGGATGAATCTTAGCAATAATGTTAAATAGACTGTGTATTTTATCGCCCTAGCTCAAAAATATCCCGAGTTAAGGACCTTCCAAGTTCGACGAGAACCTTTTCCTCTTTTAACGAATCTTGAAAATACTCAACATTTTTTTGGGTCTGAAGTAAACAAATTTTATATCATTTTGTAGCCCTCAAAATTCTCTCTAAGAAAATGCAAAAATTATTTTAAAAAATATCTTCAGTATCTTTGTATTTCCGGTAAAACAAATTACTTCGAAAAGTGCCCCATTTAAAATGATGAAACTCATAAAATGTGGTTTTTTTTTAATATTTAAGTTTAAAAAAAAATATTAATGGGGGAAAATAATAATTTAATTTTTTTTTTTTAGGTTTTTTAATTATAGGAATAAATAAATTAATTATAGAGGGCACTATTTGTGAAGTTAATTATAATATATTTTATAAATAAAAACGTTCATTTTACATTATAAATAACCATTGATATTTCTATAAAATTTATTATATGCGCTAGAAATATTTGAAAATACATATTTATATGCCCCCAAGGAAAGAAATGTATCATAATTATCTTTATAGATAGTGCCCTCTATAATTGTTTTTTTTATTCCTAAAATTATAAAAAAAAACTAAACCAAAGTTTAAATTCTCAATTATCTCCATTAATATTTTTTACTTTAAATATATAAATTTATTATTAATAAACACAGTCCACAAGTTTCAACATTTTAAATGGGCCACATTTCAAAATAATTTATTTTTTGTTTTACCGGGAAATAAAACGACGCTGAAAGATTTTTTTTAAAAAAATAATTTTTGCATTTTCTTAAGGATAATTTTAAGGGGCGACAAAACGGTATTAAATTTGTTACTTTAGACAAGATTCATTAAAAGAGGTAAAGGCTTTTATCGTACTTTGAAGGTCCATAATTCGGGATATATTTGAGTTAGGGCATCAACATTTTGATTTGTATATAAATAAAGTATACATACGATCCATTTAAGCGTTATGCCAAGTAAAAATGGTCTTCCCCAATTGGTCGATACAAATTGTGCCGATACAAATTGTGTCGCATATATTGTTTTAGACAGTGTATCTGGTGTTGTTAGGCGGCTCGATTTGAGCAACCCAATATTTTATCTAGAGAAATATTACGCGAGCCTGAAGATTTTGCTCATAGATGGCACAAACGTCTGGACATTCATTAGTGAAATCTCGAGGCTCAGGCGCCATTTTTCTGGCTGAAAATATCGAGTCAACCCTTTTTTAAGAATCGACTTAAATCCAGCCGTTTAACAACGCTAAGTCTATCGAACCCCAATTGAACGTTATTATGTTGTAGTAAGTTTTACAAAAGGGGCCTTCCATTGTTGCCCAACAATTTTTTTTTAAAGTAGACTTATTTTAACGTTAGCTATAAATTAACTTTATTATATTGCCCCCCCCCCCACTCCCCTGTTACATCCCATCTTGGTTAGGCATTATAATAGAGAATCTAGAAACCGCCTGTCTAGAGTCCAATCGCCACATGGAAAACACCGCGGAGGAGGACGAAAACGCCTCTTGTAATCTCATCCCTCAGGAGCTTTACGACAGAGCATGCATTCATTCGCTCGAACAGGGACTAGAGGTTTAGCAGACCGACGAGTATTTGTTGTTTTTTTTTTGGATCAATCCGCGCAGAAATAATCTTTGTTTACAAATCCGAATTTTTTTTTTTTTATAAATGTACAAAATAAATAACTTCCTCTCCCCCCCCCCCCCCGGTTTCTAAATAAACAACATTTTTTTTTTTTGAATTACGATGGTATCCGTAAAAATAAAAATTAAGAGCTTTCTTTCTTTTCGGATTATATTTATGTTACCGGATGCTCTTGTGAATATTCCGCAACTCATATTTAAAAATATTTACCGGGAAAATCAAATATTGTAAATCCCCCTATACCCGGTGTTGACTCTTTAAGAGTCCGCGTTCCGACGGGTGGTGCGGGTAACTTGATACAAAATATAGCTACAGCCCCGTGGCCTGTTAAACATTTAGTCATTGGTTCCTTTACATTCTTCCCTTTTTTTTTGCCTGATTGGATTATCACAAATTTAAAATAAAATGAATGTGAATAGGGGGTATTTACTATTCATACTTTTTTTGTAATAAATTAGATGAACCTGATTTAGTTGTCACTTTAGATCTGGAAAAAGAGAAATTTGACCACCAGGCCTTGGCCGAGTTCTAGCCAAAAATATAATTTTTTTGCAAGTCTCTATGCATGTTCTGTCTGAATTTTGAAAAATTTATGGATAATCACTTGAAACTCCTTTAATGCATTCCTAGTTACTGAATATATCAATCCATTTATTTTTTTTGGTAGCATCTGTGAGACCTGCTTTTGACATTTTGTGATCAGGGTCTAGAACCTGTTTTAAGTTTTTAGTCCTCACTGAGGGTCAATATCCAACTTTCTTAAGTTGTTTTTTTTTTAAAGTTATATATCTATATGCTTATATCATCAATAATCTTATCTAATTTACTAATTGGCTGACAAAAAAAATGTAACTTGTGAAGGATTGATGGATGAAATGGATCTGGAATATATTAGGCGATCCAAATATTTTTGCCCTTATGAGACTAATCCAACACGATATTACCAAATCGTTAATGCCAGTCTTTCTTCACCGTTTCCCTAGATTCTGCCGTCATTCATTAAATAACAGTCAAGATTTTCGCCTATGACAAGGAATTCTTTTCCATTCTTGTCTGTCTTGTGATATATAAGACTAGTTTCTTAAATCGCTATATTTTTTTACTGGTTTCTTTCTTTGCTTCCCAAATATTACCAATGCCCCTTGTTAATGTGCCCAAACCACCTTAATCCATTCTCCATTGTATCCGCATCCTCTATACATTTTTACGAAATTCTCCTTTATAACATGCGGGGATAGATTCTAAATCCTTGAAAGCACTTAAGTGTTTCTACATGTAACACTTGAATAGATCATTTCAGAATATTCAAAGAAACTTAATTTTTTATTTTTAAAAAAAGACACGAGATCAATCCTGTCTATCATTATTCGAATTTGGACAGTAATGTAGGTAGAGCGAAATATTACCAGTAATTAGCTAATTTAATTAAATGTCTTTTGATTTATCTCTTAGTTAAAGATTATCTGTCCAACCCCCCCCCCCCCCCCCCCCCCCCCCCCCCCCAATTTTTTTTAGAGAGGAATCGCAGGAAAAGTTTTTACAACAAAAACGGCTGGGAAGATGAAAAAGTGCAATTAAGTTTCCATTTTTTTAATCGATTATTAAATAAAGATTTATTGTTTATATAGGCGAGCAAACGTATCACGTACCCCGTCATGATAAAGGCTTCCGAAGGCGGTGGCGGCAAGGGAATAAGGAAAGTCGTGTGCGAAGAAGAATTTCCCATGGCTTTTAAGCAGGTCACATGGTCACATTATTTTATTCTTTGGCTTTTTATTTTTTTATAACGATTGACTATACCACCATAGAAAGTCCGGGAATTTCCAACCTGCCTCCCTACTGAACTAACTAAAAATTCAATCTTTACTATGCCTTAACTCTTTAATTTATTTTTGATTTGACCCTCAGAACCCTCCATTTTTTAAAGAGGGTTCTGGGTCCAGGTTTGGGTTCAACAAAAATGCTAGGGTCAGGGTTCTTATCCTGGAATTAGTTAAACTGATTTATCATATTCTTTTTGGTGTCGTTTCCATATTGCGCCCACGAATTTAGATTACTAGACTACGGAAAAGGAATTTCGCCTAAGATCGTACTTGTGTCTAGGAAGGCATGTTCTTTACTATTTGCCTCGGCGTACAGAGTGGTGTTACTTGATATTATCCAAAAGAAAAACAAGGCTAATTATGATTACATCCCATCAGTGTTGTTAAACAGCTCGTATTTGGGCCGATTTATATAAACGGCTAACTCAATATTTTAGCCAAAAAATTATTGCCCAAAGCCCGAAATTTCGTTAATAGATATGTCTCAACCTTAAATCGAGTCATTTAACAACACTACATCCCACTTTGTGTTTCTTTTAAATTTATCGTAGGTAAGGCGAATATTTGTGTTCGAGTGAAGTGAAGTTACCACACTCTTACGCTGCCCAATCGAAGTACTATTTTCGTGATACATTATAATCTTAAATTAGGTTCAAACAGAAGTGCCTTCCTCCCCTATCTTTCTTATGAAGGCGGCGAGCAAATGCCGCCACTTGGAAGTTCAGCTCCTCGCGGACGTTTACGGAAACGCGATTTCTCTTTTCGGTAGGGATTGTTCCATCCAACGCCGTCATCAAAAAATCATGGAGGAGGCCCCGGTAACTATTGCAGCATCTGCCATCTTGAACGAGATGGAAAAAGTAATTTTTTATTCATTCATTCATTCATTCATTCATTCCTTCTCTCTTTTTCCTAACTAAGAATTGTTTGATTGTACTTTTTGTTAAATTTTTTTTAAAATTAATAATATTATTACCTCTAATATCGAATTCCTAAAATTTCTCGAATAAAGTCGGCAGTGCGATTGGCTAAAATGGTAGGATACGTCAGTGCGGGCACGGTGGAATACTTGTACGATCCTCTGACCCAAGAATTCAGTTTTTTGGAACTCAATCCCAGGCTACAAGTCGAGCATCCCTGCACCGAAATGATTTGCGACATAAACTTACCGGCCTGCCAATTACAAGTAATATATTTGCTTATCGGTCCCCTCAGAATATTTCGCACATTCGGAAATAAGAGTAGGAAAATTGTTGGTGCGAAATTATTGTCAAAATAATGAGAAATCAGAAGCTGCAAAATGCACAAATTAGATGCGTTAAATTGAGGCTAATTTAGAATAAAATATGCGCGTCTTGGAAGCATAAAATTAAATGAATCGACAAGCTCCTCGAACCGACTTGCTCCAATAGGCCTCATACGCCCATCCTTATGTACCACGTTTAATCGGATTGGTTTAATGCGTAGGGCACCATTTTGTTTATTCGTCTCGTAACCCTAAAAAAATACGAATATACGCTCATTTACAAAATAAACGAAATAAAAAGATCGCTATGGGCTTACCCCTCAATCGGATAAAGGACATACGCCTATTTTACGGTCTCAACCCGTGGGAAGACGGACCCTTACCGTTATTATTCAACGACGCGCCTAGTGATCAAGTCACCGGAGGTGAGAAAAAGAATTTTTAAAAGAATTTAGAAAGAGTGAGTTTGAAGAAAGTATGAAATCGAAATGAATAAAATAGGGAAAAGTACATAAATAAAATGAAAGAAAAGTAGATATAAAATAAAAGAGAGTAGAAAAAATGAATGGATATCATTTGTTTTCGAAAGGAAGCGTGATAGGTCGGAAGTAGTGTTGAACCTGGACATTTGGCAGTGAAAATCTCGAGGCGTAGGCGATATTTTTTTCTGACTAAAAATATTGAGTTAGTCGTTTTTAAAAATTGACTCGAATCGCACACCGTTTGATAACGCTAGTCAAAAATTGTTTACGTCAGGGATGCGGGACCCAAATCCTGGTTCGGCAATTTAAAATTGTTTGGTTGGACATTATGGACAACTCATCGAACCCGGGGCAAAATGGACCCGGATCGGGTTGGGATCTTAGAAAATCGGTTTAAAATTTCCGCTCAATGTGGTTACATTTCTTGAACCCGTTGCTCGGGTTAACCACCCTGGTTTACATAATCTTAACAACAATTATAAAGCGATTGTTTTTTTATACGATAAGATAAATTGTGTATCGAGAGAGATTCTTTTTGATGTTGCGATCTACGGATAATAAATTGTATTATAATACATCACATTGCGTTTTTTTTGCACTTAAACAAACGATTCGAAGAAAGGGCTACCAAGAAAAGGGGGGAACCTAGACCTAGGGGGCATGTTATAGCCTGCAGAATAACCAGCGAAAACCCAGACGAGGGGTTTAAACCCAGCTCGGGCCAGATTCAAGTTAACCGATAAAATTATTTACGTATTAATTCTAAACGCCATTAATTTTATCATTTTATTCTTGTTTTTTAAAAAAAATAAAGCTATAGTAAATTACCTATAATTTTGTCTGTTTTTCCTGTACAATAATTATAAGGTGAGATATTTTCTTATTTTACTAAGGTAACAGTTTGGATTAATGTTTTACTATAATACTAAATCGAGTACTAATACAAGAGTCATTAACCAATGACGTATCCCTAGAGTTTGTAGGATTTTTTTTTTTGAATATATTTGTTCAAATGCATTATGATCGACATCTATCACAACATTTAACTCGGTCAACAGGAACTCAACTTTCGGAGCAACAAAAACATTTGGGGTTATTTCAGCGTCGCCGCTTCTGGGGGCCTTCACGAATTCGCCGATTCGCAGTTCGGCCATTGTTTTTCTTGGGGGGAAACCAGGGACGAGGCCAGGCAGTTAGTCCACCATACCTTTTTTCGTTTTCTTTTTTAATAAAATTTTTTTTTAAAAAATTTTCTTAACGCAAATGTTTAGAAGATGTAAAATTAGAGTTAGAAGGAAACAGCTGTATATGACATAGCCTTCATATTTTTTTTGCGTATAAGGAAGGAGGGGGGGGGGTTGAGGTGGTAGTGTAAATGTAATAAAGGATTGCATTATTTGTAATTAGATTTTTTTTGGTACGAAAATCGAGGGAGTAGTAAAAACAACCGTTTTTTTAACCAAGCTTAGTAAGCTGCCTGTAAAATGGAGGGAGAAGTGACCCGCGTTATTGTTGTCATCGTCAAAATGGCCGTTTATATATAAAATCGAATCCTAGGTCACGTGAGGCTATTCATTCCAATAATTAAAGCCACCCATGTGCCTTCCTCTATTTTACCCCCATAGTGAGAATGGCACCTTGCTGATGTAATGTTCAGCTTTTTCGATTTTAATCTCATAAACTTGAATAATTGATTCGCTCCAGGAATTTGGTGGTCGGCTTAAAGGAATTGTCTATTATGGGCGATTTTAGGACAACTGTCGAGTACCTAATCACGCTACTGGAAACCGAAAGCTTTCAGAAGAACATCTTTGACACGGAATGGTTGGACAAATTGATATCGGAAAAATTTCAAGTTTTCAAACTATACATATATAAAAAATTATGCATAGTTTATTACTTACGCACTTTATATTTTATTAAATATTTTTTGATGGGGAACTGGTGATTGGCATGGCTTAAAATTGTCTAGCAATACCAAATCTTGTATATCATGTCATTTATATTCTATGTACTTTAGTAAGGTACAAGGGGGGCCAGGACTCGTTTCCTTAGTAAACAAGACGCCTTCTTCTATCTTGTTAACATAGATATCTATCGAAATACATGCATATTTGGGTAATAATGTTAAGTCGATTCTCTAAAATTCGAAAATTATTTTTAAAAAATTTAAAAATCGCCGTAAACGCCGCACCGTAAAGGGCGGGCGACAATGCCCTCTAGATCATTTTTATTTAAGCTACTCGTAAGAGATGTTTTGATCAAATAGGACGATTTTTTAACCGCTCCGCGCGTCCCGTTTTCCTTATATACTAACAGTCAGGGCCGGACCGTTGAGGGCCGAAACAACCCCCCCCCCCCATACTTTTTTACTCGTATTTTCGGAATACAACTAATTTTTTTTTTGTTATAAAAAAATATTATTTTAACTTCGCCGATTATATCAGTCCGAAAAACCGGACACCATGATGGGCGTTATTTGCGCGTCGATCCACGTGGCGGACCAAACGGTTTCCCTGAGCCTTCAAAAGTTTAAGAACGCCCTATCCAAGGGCCAAATCCTGCCGGCCAACAGCTTGACTCACACGGTTACGGTTGATTTGGTGAGGGACATGGTTAAGTATAGCGTCCAGGTTGCCCATTTTTGGATTATTTTTTTTTTCATCGAAAATGGATCGAGATAGATTCGCTAGAATTCTAGTGGGAAGACGATTTAGAAAGAAGGGAGGGACCCTGGAGGAAAATGGAGCTAGAAAAGGGGCGAGGACAAGTCACGTGATAAATGAATCGATAAGGGGGAGATAATGTGAAATTTTGTTTCCGAGTTATTGCTTAGAAACCTTCCTAACATAACATCCATGGCCTAGATGGATTCACGATAATTTTAGGAAAGAGATTTAAGAGAGAATGAGAAATCAAGAAGATGGGTTAGAAAAGGGGCAAGATCATACGGAGGACACGTCACGTTAAATGGATCGATAGAGGGCAGAGTGTAAAATCTTGTTTCCGGGCTATTACTTAGAAACCTTACTATCTTGAGATCCATACCCTCATCGGGATCCGAAAGTTTTTATATTTTAAAATTAAGTTTTAAAAGTTTCCTCGATAATTGCCAACCCGTGCCTCTATAAGATTCGATAAAAATGATTTTTAAATAACAAATATATATATAAAATGTTTAAAAACGTCAATCAGATTTTTTTTTTTCTTACAAGGTTACCAAAACTGGACCCAATACCTACTTTTTGCTGATGAATGGTTCCTACATCGAGATCGAAGCTCATAGGTAATTTTTAATTTAGTTTTTCGAAAAGCAATTTTATTTACGAAAACCGTTATATTTTTAGGTTGAGCGACGGGAGCCTGCTCTTCAGCTTGTACAACCAATCCTTCAACAGTTATATCAAGGAGGAATCTGGGGGGCGTAAATACAGGGTGGTTTTAGGTGGAATTTTCATTTTTTATGGATTATTTATCATTTAATTGATCATAGTTAACTTGGGCTTACTTTTTTTTTAGCCCAATTCGAAGATTCGAGATTAATATTTTTTTACCATTAAAACTTAGTTTAAGCCGTTTTTGAAATTGGCGTCAAAGTTAGGTGCTCGGTAAAGTTATTGAGAGTTTTGAAACCGGAACTAAGAAGGGATTACTTGCTAGATATTCAAGAGATTCGTCCGAATACTAGTAGCACATTGCACATTTTTGTAGGCTTTAGTTTCTCTTCCAATTTTTATAGTTAATCACCTTTAATTTCTATTCGTCTGTTTTGATGCGTATAGAACGTTATAATACTCGCTCACGATTTGGCATATTATCGAGACTCGAATGCTAACCGAAATCGGATAAAATAGTCGCCATTTAAGAATTTGCAGGATTTCCGTTTAAATTAACATTTCCGGCTCATTTTAATGAATGCGATGATTTAAAATTTCAAAAAAAAAAATATATTCTCAGGTAACAAAACGTGTTGCTTTGACAGAGATGCCGCCGACCCTACAGCCCTTCGAGCCGTATCGCCGGGTAACAAATAGAAAATTCCTTTTTTATCTTTTTTTTCAAATGCGAGATTTTAATCCCTCATGCATGACTCGATATTTATCCGAGTCCACTGAAATTGAAAACGATGACTGGTCGAGGAGATATTCTATGTCAACATCTTAATATCTCGCAACCATAGGCGTCGTCGCCAGATCTGGATTCACAAATTTGGGGCGAAAGTTGGTCGTAATTTGAGGATTTTTGAGGGAAAAATTTGAAAAAAAAAAAATGCGATCCCTAATTAATTTTTACGTATATAAGTAATATTTTATTCTTAGTTTCAAAGTTTTGAATTTCTACTTCTATGGGTGTAAGCGTTCGCGTTTTGACCAAAAAAATTTGCGTAAGTCTCCCGCTGATGGGGGGGGGGGAGACCTGGCTACTCTCCCCGGCGAAGAGCGTAAAGACACCCGATAAATTTATACCAGTTTGAAATATGATTTTGGCGATTATATTTTTTATTTTACGAATCATGGAATGATTTTTTTTTAAAAAAATGGATATTCCGGTAAACCATTTTTTTTATTTTCATTTTGAAATATTCGATTTGGAATTTTTTATGACACAAAGAAGAAAAAAATTTATTATACATCTAACTTGTATTTTTTTTCTTCCTTAAAGATGGCTAACTCAATATTTTAAGCCAAAATATAGTATTGGCGAAGACACGTGATTTCGCTGAGAGATGTCTCGACCTTTGTGCCCATCTATGAGCAAAATCTTCAGGGCTTGAGTAATATTTTTCTGGATAGAATATTGATCTTCCTCATCGTTGTTAGGTTCCTGGCTTGGCCAGTTTTTTTTTCTAACTCCGCTATTCTACATTTTTCTGCTGGGGCATCTTCAATCCAGCATTTTTTTTTGTCATCATCTACTGCCCTTTCATCTAGCTTGGTCTTTTATCGAAAACGTACATGTTTACAATATAAATAACAGGTAAACTCTTGGAATATTGCGTCGAGGATGGGTCATTCGTAACGATCGGTCAAGTTTTCGCTCAGATAGAGGTTATGAAAATGGTGGTCTCCCTGAAGGTCGAAGAGAGTGGCATGTAATATTGATATTTTTTTTTTTTACTATTCTAAGAAATGACAATGTAATATTATAACCTATGTAAATATATATATTTGGTGTGTGTGTGCATGCTAGCGTCGATATGTTATTTTTTCAACTTTACCGAGAGGAGCGTCCTTTAAATATAAAAAAATTTGATTTTATGGAAGTTGTAGTTCCCCTATGTTTAGAAATACCTAACCCTAAGAATTTCGGAACAATTTTAAAACGTTTTATTTTGAGTTCATTTATAATTTTTTTTTATAAAAAAACCTATGGAAAAAAAAACAAATATAATTTATATTAAGTTCAAAATGAATTCACGGAGGTTTACTGGAATACATTCGGTAAAATCAGATTTTATAAATAAACACTGAAAAAAGGATTTAAAGTTGAAAAAAATATAACGCATCGGCACTTCCGCATATATTAACTAAGTTCCCTTACAGAGGTCAAACCGCCCCGCTCAAATTTTCGAGAAAGTATTTCCGGTTCGTAAATATATTTTGGCGCGAGTTTTTTCCGGTCCGCCCGAAAATATTTGCGCTACGACGTTTTGTTGGTTTGCCCCAAAAAATTTTTGTTTCGATCTAAAATTAGAAAGTATCGCGACTAATTTGATACATAGCTCTATCTTTAAGTCCCAACGCTTGTGGGATTTGTTTCATTCAGCTCAATAAGGATGCCATTTTATCTATGTTTTTCCCGAAAAAATTACCTTACAAAAGATTGCGCTACGTCAAGAGACCAGGGGCCATCTTAGAAACCGGAACTCTCATAGCTAGGATCGAGATATCCGATCCCAAGAAGATCAAAAGAGTAAAATAAATTATACATTGAAAGCCTTAATTACTAACATATAGCCTCGAATAGGGGTTGGTAATATACATTCTCTCGCTGTTTCTTTGACCCCTTTCTTCCACATTCTTTTTTACTACTTCTTCAGATGCCCATGGGATACGGAATTTTGTGGGAAGGAGGGTTAGAATTTGTACCATCGACTTTCTTTTTGCTTTTCTAGGCCTTAATACTATCTCTAACTTCGAGACCATTTTCGATATGCAAGCTAAAGGATTTCCCTATTAACCTTAAGAGTTAGCTGACCCACTTATCCTTACCTAGAAACTTGGGTTATATCTCCGATTTTATATATTATTTATTTTTTTAAATTATTTACTCCCCAAGGCCAGCAAATATCTCGGAACATTCGCCCAGGTCACTCCACCAATCGCGCCTGCTCCCGCTTTTCAAAATGTTCTCGGTAGGAGGACCTCTTCCATAGATTTCAGGAAGAGCTCTCTAGAATTTCCTAACATAGCGGTCGATACGGAAACCGTCGGCGGCAACGTGGGGGAAGAAAGGCTCAACCGCATTTTCGAAGGCCTTAAATCCAAGTTGGAAAACATGTTGAACGGGTACGATCTGCCCGAGCCTTATTTCACCTTGAAGTTGGAATCCACCGTGGACGCCTTCATGAAATGTCTCAGGGATCCCAAACTGCCTCAACTGGAACTGGAGGTACGTTCTTATACTTTATATCAGTGAATGGGGAAAGATAATGAGGATACATGATTCAATATTATATTTTTTAATTCGAATTCACCCAACCATTTTTATGCGTTCATTCCGTGTCGAAGGAAATAATTTCCTCCCTGAACGGTAGGATTCCGGCCGAGTTACTCTCCCACATCGTCAGGTTCAAGGTGAGCTACGGTTCCAACATTACGTCCATGCTCTGCCAGTTTCCCAGTCAGGGCATCGCCAGGGTTATCGACGAATACGCTGCTCGGTGCTTGGAAAAGCGGAGCGCTAGAGACGCCTTCTTCGCTACCGTTGCTCCATTGGTTAGACTCATTCAAAGGTAACCCTTATTCCTACCATTCAAACATTGAGAAAGGGCGATAAGAGAGATCGGAAGAAAACGAGGAGAAGCAACATAAAGAATGTGTACGAAGATAAATATTGGTAGGAAGGTGCATTGCTAAATTATCAGTTATACGATGTTAATCTTACCCATTTATAATTGCATTTTTTTTTAAAACTTAAACCAGATATCGCAATGGCATTAGAGGCCATATGAAGTTGATGGTTCAAAATCTGCTCAAGCAATACCTGAATGTCGAGACATATTTCCAAAACGGTTCTTACGACAAATGCGGTGCCAAGTTGCGCGAAACGCTCTACAAAGAGGATCCTGATATGGCTCTTTCCTGCTTCACCGCCCACGCTCAATGCGAGAAAACCACTCTGATAGCGTTGGCCCTTATAGATCATCTTTGCAGGTAAACGTCATCGTTATCACGAAATCTATCGGCTAAGAATTAAAACGTCAATCAGTTCAAACAATTTTCATATATACAGATCCTAATCTATACTAGGCCACAATCTAGGAGGTGGGGGGGGGGGGGTTAGAATAGGAATTGATCCTATGTAATAGTCAAAATTAGAGTTTGATTTCACTTAAGAAACAAGTAACGTTATTGGTTTAAAATGAGGCATAACGAGTTGTAATCTTCTTCTTAAAGATTTCGGCAGAACAACAGCTGATATTTTTTTTTCTTCTCTCGCGTAAATTTTCTTTATAATCGATCCTTAGATACGAACCGGGTCTCACGGATGAATTGAACATAATATTCGGGCACTTGGCGAACTTGTCGCAAGCGGTAAACGGAAAAGTTGCACTGAGAGCTAGACAAGTACGCGCACACTTTTTCTATTCCATTCTTTTTACGTTCCCTTCCCCTCTCCATTTTTTCCCCAAATCGGTTTTCGTGTTGTCCGGAATAACTCTAAGGTAAACAGATCCAAGTTGTTAATTCGGAACTCTGCAGACCGGTTACAATTATATCTCAAAGATTCGAATATTAAGGCCATTTTTTGAAACGATCCAATCCGATTCGATCCGCGCCATTGGCTAATCCCACTCCTTATTAGGAACCCTACTATAAATTCGGACATATTTTAATGTTTTATATTTTCATTTTTAATTGAAGAAAATTAGACGACCAGTTAATCAAATAATTTTTTTTAAGGTTTTGATAGCTTCTCATCAGCCATCTTACGAACTTAGGCACAATCAAGTCGAAAGCATATTTCTATCTTCCATCGATATGTATGGTCACGAATTCTGCCCAGAAAATTTACAAGTTTTTTCCTTAATGTCCATAACCTTTTTTTTTACAATCCCGTTAGTGTTGTTAATTTACTTAAACTTTGACCATCTCTTATTGTGGCATGGAGTCAAGGTTTTAGCCAAAAAACTGAATTAAGCTCCTAAGTTGAGTCTCGACTCAAAGATCGATTCTAATATTTTTGGGATAAAAATTATGGCCACGCTGTCTTATAGTTGACTAAAGTTAGGCGGCCGTTAATGGTCTCTCTCCCACCTTTTGAAAGGTACTACACGTAATGTTCGATATCGAATAGTACTTCCCATAAATAGATTTTTATAATTAAAGAAGAAGAGCGAAGTTGAGAAAGAAGGAAAGTAATAAACAGAAAAATACATCCAAGAATGGAACTTTTATGATTCGTTCCTCGACATTTAGTCGTATTTGTTCCTCAGTTTTTTTTTGAAGTCAATATATATTTTCGGCGATCTGGCCTTATACATGATCATAATTTTGATACTCAAAATAAAATTGAAATTTTTTTTCCTTATTTTTTGTGAAGCGTCTCATATTTTCGGAGACTGCCATTTTCGACGTTTTGCCCGATTTTTTCTTCCACAAAAACAAGATCGTTAGACAGGCCTCGCTCGAAGTAATTATCTAGCGCATTTCTAATAATCTTCCTATAAAAAAAAAATTCGGTTAGCGATCATTCCCACCTTAAAACCTAAATGTGATTTTTCCTGAGATATGCTGAAAATAATGCCACACATTTATTTTGATATCAAAATTAGTGAAAGATCAATTTTCCGGATCCGAAAACCGGAACTCGATCTACTCTTCGCGTTTATCCGGGTCCGATATTTGATCTTGACTATATTATGTAAATGATTATTTACTCTTTTCAAGGTATACATACGGCGCGCCTATATAGCTTACCAGCTCCATTGCCTCATGCATTACGAGTTGAACGACGATATATGCGTAGTCGAGTTTCAGTTTATCCTTCCTTCCTCCCACCCAAACAGGTCTCTTTTTTTGTGTTTTTTTTTTATATTTCCGGGAAATGGTCCTAGATAGGATGGTATTTGCTCTACTTGTAATAATTAGAATATAATTTACGAACCACGTTTTTTTTTAGCGTGTTCACCTCGCTCAGCCACAACGTGATCAAAATTTGTGATCCTTCTTGGTAGTTACCTTTGTCGGCTTCTTCTTGGAGTGAAGGAGTGAGTTTAAATCCGGGTTTTTTTTTTAAAAAAAATTTTGACCAACTCCTATAGTTCTGTTAAAGCTCTATTTGAATAGGAAATTGGTAAGACATCTCTACCCCCCCCCCCACATCGATTTTATAATGATTTTTATTTGAAAAATAGGGCGATGGTTCCGGCTCGGCAACAGGAGAGGCGTATGTCTAGGATAAACGGCGAAAACATTTCCGTTTACGCTCAACGCATGGGAGCTATGGCAGCTTTCACGAGTTTCGAACAATTCGAGAAGTATGGAAACCATTTTGTTTTTTAATGGAAGATGATACGCCACGCGTAATACTGTCAATTAGAGCGCGGTAGTGTCAAGCCCGACTTATCGAAAGATGGGCCTCGTTAAAGGCGGGTCTTTTCGAGAGCCGGGGCAAAAGCTAAAATTGTCACGAATTAACGTGATAAATTTTTTTTTCTTCATTATACACGAAAGGTACTTCCCTCTGATCTTAGAAAAGGTGTCAATCATGGATGCCCATATACCTAGGTTGATAGATCCGGACACTGGCTCATTTTCTCAAGAGCAGGTAATTCATCATTTTTTTCTTAAACATACATTCGAACAAAAGCCTTTCCTTTTTTTTTGGTTACCGAAACATCCAAAAAGGTTTATTTGAAATAAACGCGGGAGTTTGGTTGGGCGTAATTGTACATTATATATATCTTACCCACAAATGATGTCACGGAACTTGTACTGACTTTTTTTTCGCGTGAACACATTGCGACTTGTTTATTAAACTGAGAGGTTCTCGGTGAACGATCTTTGACAATGATAGGCGAAGCGGATTTTATGATTCTTGCAAAAAATTTTTTACTGTCATTACACCTTAAGAACGAAAGAGGTTGCACCATTTTTTTATTGACAAGTTACCTTTATTTTTAACGGTAACTGAACTTGTTCCACTATTTTTCTACCTATCCAATATCGATAATTGCATTTGGTCTTATTAATCATTTTAATAATCAGCTGGTATTTCGTAATTTATTCTTTCAAATATCATCATCCAATACCTTATTTTTATAATTGATTTTTATGTTTCTCGAGGATGCATAAACAAATCCTTGAGAAAAAAAATTGCCAGATATTTAAATTAAAAATAAAATCAGGCATGAAAGTTAATGAATCCTGCAATATATTAAAGGGTTATTATGCGTTCGAACAAACGAAAAACCTGACAGACCCCTAACAGTTTCTATCCTATCCCCCAAATTCATATTTATTTTTTATGAACCTTGTTTCGAGATTTTTAAAATTGAATAAAATAAAAAAATGATCGAACCCCGGTCAATTCTTGATTACAAATTATTTTTTTTGTAACTTAACGAGAGTATCGAAATACTTTTTTTTATCGAGACTTTGTTAATAGTCACCCACGTCCCATCTATGAGTAAAATCTTTAGGATAGCGTAATATATTTCTGAAAAGAATATCGAGTTAGCCGTTTTTTTAAAAAAATTGCTCAAATCCGCCATCAGACCCGACCCAAATTTTTTTAAAAATATATGTTCGGGCCAATATTCAGGACTCAGTTTGATGTATAACTTGAGTTACTATTTGTTGATACCATCATGCCTAACAACTAGAAATTAGTTGATTGCTATGTACCTCCTTTTCCTTTCCACAATAAACTTAAAGGTTTCAGACTCTTTTGGTTTAAACGTGACTAGTCCTGCCGAAAGCTGCGTGACAGAATTTAGTTTATTTTGTGTCGAGTAGAATATCTTTTAAGGAGTAATTATAATAATAATTGTAAAAAAAATTTTGGTGATATTCTGTGATGATGATTTCACGGAACCATGCTTATTTGAGGCCGTTCTCCCTATGCACCACTAGAAATATATAGTTTTTTTTTAACAAAAAAAGATTATCTTGAAATAAATAGATCTAATCATGAAATACTTTAAGTGGTTTGTTCTTGTTGCATCACGACAATGTGATGAAGGTTCTGCACTGCTAAGGCTTAACTCACAAAGCCTTTTAATGAGCTAGTGTTGTTAAGCGACTCGATTTGAATCCATTCTTAGAAACGTCGAACTCGATATTTTAACCAGGAAAAATATCGCCTCACCATCGAGATTTTGCTAACAGACTCCGAAACTTTGGCATCTTTGAGTAAAATCTTCAGATTTGCATTGATATTTTAAATATTTGCCTGATTAAAAAAAAAAACTAGGAAGCTATTTATTTTTTTATAAGAATGTAATTTTTTGATTCAAAATTTTTAAGAGTAATTCTTATATATATATTTAGTCATATTGAGGGGGGGGGAACTGTTAGGTGTGGTTATTTTCCCCATAATTTTTATTGGAAGTCTTTTTTAGGGTCCATGTATTGTAAACCTTCTCCCCTGGCTACGCCTATGTATTTAATAATTTATTATTGTCATCATAAAATATTTCTTATTGCTAATAAAAAACGCTCATTAGATTGGACATTGAACACTGAATTATAGCCTTAAAACCTGGAAGACCCAATTGCTACATATTTTGATCAATTTGAAAAAAAAAATAATATATTTAACACGATCTGTAAAACATTATGCAAAAAAATTATTAAAATTGGAAAATTGATCTTTCAATAAACTCGTTAACATAATAAGGAGACCACGTAAATTTACTATATATACCTCAAACTTTGAAAAAATATCAATGCAGCCCTAATTTAAATCATTACAAAAAAGGTTTGATTGTTTGTTTTTTTGAAAACCACCATTTTGATTTTTATAACCACGACCCCCTCCCCCTCCTTATACAATTTACTTCATCAAAAGCCGTCCCAATCCGAGGAACCGATACTCATACTCAACGCCGCCATTAGCCTGACACCTGTCTCTTCCACCCCCGGGTTATCTTCGTCCACAAAGACCAACGTCCCCTCGGTCCACATGGAATGCGCGGCATCCTTGACTAGCCGGATCAGGCCCTCTCTGCGAGAAGACGACGCTATAGCTCTGAAGTTCGAGAGATTCTGTCAGAGCCAGCGCGACGTATTGAAGGCCAAGGGCATAAGGAGACTCACATTTTTGATCGTTACGGGTCTAGTCGGGATCACGCCAACTACACAAGAAGCTCGAGACAACAAGGTCAATGTAAGTAACTCGAAAGAAGTAGGATTTGTAATTTAGAAAGTGTAAGAATCATTTTATTAGTGCGAGACAGAGCTGAGGGAGAATTTGTAGATTCGGAAAAGTTTAGTAAGTATTTTATAAGCGTGGGACATTAAGTTAGTGAGAGCTGGTAAGAGCTTTACCTTGTTGCCGATAATCAGGACGCGAGAAGAGATGGATGACAAGTTTATTGGGTGGAAAGGGATATGCTAAGTTTATAAAACGCATTTTTTTATATTTTTTACTTTTTTAAGACCTAAAAAAATGAATTTATTTTGCTATATCAGCACCAAATGTTCCCCAAATATTTTACGTATCGCCTAAGGGACGATTTCAAGGAAGACAGAGTCTACAGGTACCTGGAGCCGGCCCTCGCCTTCCAGCTCGAAATAAACCGGATGAGGACTTTTGATCTCGAAACGATTCCCACCGCCAATTACAAAATGCACATGTATTTGGGTAGAGCCAAGGTTTGCTAAATCTTTCTCTCTCTCTCTTCTCTTCTCTCTTTCTCTTCTCTTCTCTTCTCTTCTTCTCTTCTCTTTCTTCTCTCTTCTCTTCTTCTCTCTTCTTCTTTCTCTTCTCTTCTCTCTCTTCTCTTCTTCTCTTCTCTTCTCATGAGATAAGGAAATTATTTGCAATTCGTATTCTTATCAAGGATATCCTTTCCCTAGTCGGTACCTATATGGCTCCATGTGAGTTTCGAGTAATTATGGTTACCTCACATTTTAGAAAGAAAGACCGTAAAACGTTGCAAATGATTTTCCGGGTTTCAGGACCCCAGGGAATCACTATTGCCATACTGTCTGAGTCTAACTATAATTTACGCTTGAAGTGGTAATCTAAGAAATGGATACCTTATTATTTATAAAATAAGGAAATTATTTACGTTAAGTGTTCATATCAAGAATATCTATCCTTTATTACGAGGACTGTAAAACGTCACAACTGATTTACTGGGTTTTGAAACCACAGGGAATATCTATTGCTATCATGTCTGAGTCTAAGCTATATTTATGCTAGATGTGACTAAAATGAAGAGATATACCCTATTATTTTTTATAAAAATAAATGACTTTTCTTTGCCATGAAAAATAAATAGGTGGCCAAGGGGAGGGAAGTGAACGATTATCGATTTTTCGTGCGGGCCATCGTCAGACATTGCGATTTGGTATCCAAGGAGGCCTCCTTCGAGTACCTTCAAAATGAAGGTAAAGTATCATTATTCAGTTAATATTCTCTCGTTTCTTATTGGCCCCCTAGCAAGATTCACTAATTAGTCCTAAACAGAGTACCAAATATGATTGGTGGAGACCATTTTGATGACCGGACACGTGGAACTCGTGAACTCGGGAAATTATAAAAAATGAATAAATTCTGGCCACTTGGGGGTCAATCCTTTCAGAGGTCTTCGGCCTTAATCTCAGTAAAATAGTCCTGGCGATATTTAATATTAGATAAAGAATTCCCAAAGCCCACCTATATAAGTTTCAAAAAATATTCCCCAAGCCCATATCCAATAATCTAATTTATTGTATTCAATAAAAATAAACAATATTTTAAGTGTATATTATTTATACAATCCTTTTTGTTTACGTTACGGGAATTTATTAGAAAATATTGAAATATATTTTCTTTGAGTTAACTTATCATCGATACATACAAGTATAATCGATCAGAGAACAAGGTCCTACAGTAGTAAAACTAAAAAACCGGTGTCGTTAAACGACTCGATTTGCGCCGATTTTTGAAAGCCGCTAACTCCGTATTTTAGCCCGAATAATATTGCACAAGCCCGAATAGTTCGCTCATAGATGGCATAAAGGTTTGGACATCTATTAGTCAAATCTCAAGGCATAGGCAATATTTTTCCGGCTAAAATACGGAGTTTACCGTTTTTAAAACATCGGCTCAAATCGGGCCGTTTAACAACACCACTAAAAACTGACAAATTCGGGTTTTTTTTTACCCATACCCGTGTGACATCTTATAATGAACGAGCCAGATATAATCCATTTTTTTTGACTTGATTAAAATAATCTTAGGTGAACGGATCTTGCTGGAAGCGATGGACGAACTGGAACTGATATCTTGGCACCCCGACGCCAAAAAGGCGGACTGCAATCACATTTTCCTCAATTTCGTGCCGACCGTCGTCATGGACCCCATCAAGATCGAGGAAAGTGTCCGGGGAATAGTGGACCGGTATGGCCACCGGCTTTGGAAGCTCAGAGTTTTGCAGGCCGAAATCAAGGTGGCTGTTAGGTAAATATAATTTTATCTGAAAGTTAGATAAATGAGCAGAATAAAGGAATACGTGTATGCAATGACATATGATAATAACCCTAGACTGAGGGCGCGTACATCAAAAGTGTACGTCGGCGAAAACAGTTGGGGACGCCATTTTGATTACCCATATCATAAACAGCAAGGCCAATTCGTTATGTCTCGCGCAAGCCTTATTGAAGAATTGCCTGATCATCGAGATGAATGGTAGTTTTTTAAATACGAGAATATTACCCTATAGGTTACCAAAATGGCGGGTCCAGCTGATTCGCATTCAATATGAATGCATCGTCAGTCTAGGTATTATTATTATGTGTCATTGCGTGTAAACCGATATTTATTAAATCGGCGCCATCAGTCGAATCAAGATTATATAGGCTAGCTCTACTCCATACCAAGTCCGAATAAAACATTTTGAATAATTATAGGTGACAATATGTCCCAATTAATTTTTATCTATCATTTTTTCGATCGAACGCCTCTCTAATAATGCACGATGATTCGAAAAGAAAAAAAAATACGAGGTCATTCCAACAAAAGGAAGAAGATTATGATAATGGGTCATTCCATACCGAATCGATCAAAAAATTCTTTTAATCTATAACTGGACAAAATTTTAGCCTCCTCTCCCTAGCTTTTATACTTTTGGAGATATCTAAGGGTTCTAAGCATTCTTTTTTTCTGCCAGTGTTTTATATTCCATAATTTAATGATTGGAATTCAAAATTTATTTATTTTTTTAGAATTTTTTTTAAGATAAAAAGGTATATTCCTTATTTTGATACTAGTTCATTTTTCGTATTCAATTCCCTAATTTTATAAATTAATTCACCTATTTAATGATTTACGACACTCGCAAACGCAAATAAAGGCAATTTCTTTTATGCTTTCACCTTAGATATCTAAGTATGAAAGCTAGGAGGCTAAATTTTGCCTAAATATAAGATTATAAGAACCTGCTGCTCCTACTCCTATCTCTTCGTTAGTTCACTCTAGAACCCTAGTATATGTGAGGGTTTTATAGGAATATTAGCCCAAATTAAAAGGGTTCGGTCTTTATCTTTTTTGATCGATGGCATGGAATGAAAGAACATTCCTTATCATAATCTTACCCCCTTGTGGAGATAAACGTTTCCCGTTCGTGTTGCGTTTCTAAACCGAATCGTCATAACAAATATTCTATGTCCAATATATATATATATATGAATTCAATTATCTATTTTCTTTATTTTTAACGCGGTCGCTTTTAAGGTTGACCTCTGTCAGCAAACCCCTTTCCCTGAGAATATTTGTCACCAACGAAAACGGTTATTACGTAGATATCAGCACCTACCAAGAAGTCACCGACCCTACTACCGGCCAGGTTTTGCCCATCCTTTTTTTAAAATAACATATTCGTTTTCCGCCATTTTTTTTAAAAAAAAGGAATATAGTCGAGCGCACTCGAATTCCGCACAATTAATGAGAACCGCCTTAAATTCCCACTTTTAAAGAAGAAACACTATTTTTTTTTGTTTAAAACTTCCAGCTCGAACACTTATATTATAGTTTCCTAAATAGGATTTAATATGATAAATCTAAATTGTATTCTCAGATAAAATTCGAAGCATACGGCCCCGTCAAAAAAGGTCCTCTGCACGGCCATTTGCTGAGTTCGCCTTACATGACGAAGGATCACCTGCAGCACAAAAGGTTCCAAGCCCAATCTAACGCCACCACCTACGTTTACGATTTCCCGGACTTTTTCAAGCAGGTTTCGTCATTCATTAGGATATTCCACATTTTTGATATTTTTATACGCCCAATTTTTATATATATATATATTATTTTTGTAGAACTTGATCGATAACTGGAAACGGTTTTTAGCAGATTTAAAGATCATTAGAGTGCGTAACGGGGCCAAGACTAAAGAGTCAGAGTCGAAAGGTTCGCTTTTTGTTATTATTCATTTATTATACGAATGAAAGCGGGAATGATGATTGAAGTGAAACCAAAATATGAATTGATAAATCCTTAAATTAAAGGGCCATATTTATAAGATAAGGAAACAGGAAAATTTTTACCTCTTTAATTGATCGGAAGAAGAAGGAAAAAAATTATCAGCGGATTAATATGGGTGTTAGGGTATGATTGAAATATGAAGCATTTTTACTCACCAGAAAATGAAAAATGGTGCTGCGGGCGAACAATGTCTTATTACATTTTATGCCCTTCCCCCTTAACTTGAACTTTTGAAATCATATACGTTAATACAGAACTTCTTGTACCCTCTTTCGAAGAGATAGTTATGCCCGAGAGGGTAGCCAGTTTTACGGAATTGGTCCTGGACACCAACGACGAACTGGTCGAATGCGAGCGTCTCCCGGGAGGCAACGATATAGGCATGGTCGCTTGGAAAACTACGCTATACACTCCCGAATACCCAAAAGGTGACCAAAAACTATCCTTTTATACCTTTTTTTACTAAACAGGGTAATCTGGCCATCCCCCTCCCCCCATCTTTATTAACACTTTCACTGATTGATTTGTAAACTTTCTAGGGCAGGAACCAAAATATTATTTTGGATGTCGAATAAAGATCTGTAATTAGTCAAGGTTCAAAAAATTATTCTACCACGAGGTCAAAAAAATATATAGAGCGGGAAATTTTCTACATAAAAAAAATCAGACAGGGCCTTACAAATGTCATATTTTTCATAAAATTCTAATGAGCCACCCCCTGGCATTAAAAATTTTGATTGTTTTTTGGGAGATTTCGAGCTAATGTTTTTTTTTTTTGATTTAATAATATTTATAATAACATGGGAAATATGTTTATTTTTTTGAAGAGCTGTCTAACTAAAATACTAAAGTAAATTCACCATAATAATTAAACTAGCTCCTTATGTTACGGTTGTTGTAGAAATAAGCGCCTTAGTTTACATTGTAAGAATTATAACTAGGGAAATAGATATTGTAAATGTGTTTGCCAGATAATTCGTACAAAAAAAATTTAACGGACCTTGCCGAAAAACTTCTATAGAAATTCTTAATGAGCCGGGGTCCGAAGATCCCTAATTTCGGGTAACGACAAACGAGATAGCGCATATAAACAAAAATGTTTTTTTATTTTGTACAATTCGATCATTTGTTTCTGGGGGAGTAATAAATAAATTTTGATTTTTTGTAGGTTCTGGAATTTTTTTTAGTCCGAACAGAAACTCGGGGGGGGGGGGGGGGTATGAGACCGTCATTGAAATAGACGGGTGGAGTAGTTAGTTGTAAAGGCATTATCGTAGATATATTGATCGCTTTAATTTGTTTTTTTTTTGCTAGAGTCAGGAGTTAGGGCTGAGTTTGGGGAATTTAGAAGTCCCTAGCCCGCACGTCTATCAGCTTAGCCAAGCTAAATTAATGCACGTTTAATTTACAATAAGTTTGTCGAAAGTTTTATATCATTTATTTATCATTCATTACTAATTAATGCAGTTGAAAATGATTACCTTAATCTTTTTCCTTTTTCTAAAAATCCATCTTTATTTTGTTGCCTTTAACAAAAGTGTGATAGATGGAGATAAAAATATATTTAAAAAAAAAAATTTTTTCCTACATCGTACCAACGTTAAGGCCGGGACATAATAGTCATAGCGAACGACATAACATTTAAAATCGGTTCTTTTGGCACCCGGGAAGATTTGCTCTACTACAAGGCGTCGGAGCTGGCCATGAAATTGAAAATTCCCAGGCTATACATTTCTTCCAACAGCGGCGCCAGGATAGGTATAGACGAGGCCCTCAAAAACAAATTCAAGGTTGCGTGGGAAGATGAACGCGATCCGAATAAAGTTTAAACGTTTTCCTTTGTAAATATCGAAATTTCGATTAGATTCGTTTAAAACTAGATTGAGAAATTTAAATTAAAACAAAGATGTCTCGGAATATAAACATTTCCGTTTTAAGGTAAACGATAAGCGCTAAAAAAAAATCAGTAGATTTTGTAACGCTCTTTTCCAGTGCTATGATCTTACGATATTCCTTCCCGCTCTATATTTTTCGGAAGCGCATACATGCTCATCCATATCTGCTAATAATTTTTTTCCCCTCTCAAATAAAGCAAACTTATATTTAATTCGGAGACCTGCAGAGGTACCATTTGCATGGTCCGGCCCGGATTTTTTGGTCCGACGTAGCTCGGCCCGGGTATGTTTAAAAAAATTAAAATACGGCCCGGTCCGTGTACCCGGGCTTAAGGCCGAACCTACCGCTCAAAACGTTTTAAAGGCTATTATTTTTAACTTGATAAAAAAAAATCGACCAAGGGCTTCAAGTACCTCTATCTCAGCCCCGAAGATTACGAAAAAGCCAAAAATAACAACTCCATCATTGCTCAACCTGTGAAAGTTCCGCTCAAACCTATTTACTGTAACGGAGATGTCACGGCCAAAAATGACATTCGCCATGATACGAGCGATAACAAGAGAACGGCGGAGGAATTGCGGTACAAAATAGATTGCATTATCGGTACACAACCAGATTTGGGGGTCGAAAATTTGAAGGGCAGCGCCATGATTGCAGGTGCTTATTTTCCTTCGAAACTTTAATAATAACATTGTTATATGGGGGGAAATAATGTTAGAGTCAGGGGATTTTCCCGGTGGAGGTTGAAGTTATCTATTCCCGCCCCCCACCACCATTAAGGTTTGGGACAAAGATATTCACCTACTCCGTATTCTTACTTTTACCACGTGACATTACGGCTAAGATATTTGACTAGTGTTGTTAAACGGATGGATTTGAGCCTATTTCCAAAAACGGCTATACTATTTATCTAGAAAATATTAAGCAAGCCCGAAGATTTTGCTCAGCACAAAGGTCTTAGACATGGATTAGCTAACTTTGGCAAGATTTTTCCAGCTAAAATTTTGAATTAGCCGTTCCTAATCACAACGAACCGTTTAACAACACTATATTTGACTATTAAAATGGTTACTTTTAAACAAAAATATTACACACGAGATTTTCCACTTTTTCTATATCCATTGCTTGCTACCCCATACTGCCCGTTGTTCCAAATTTGGAACGATATCTAATCTTATAAACAATGAATAAAAAAAAAATGTTTTTAAGTCCCACTAATAAATTGACGGGAATACAATGTATGCCACTTTAAATTTACCCCGCTATGACACAAGTTACACCCCTATATCTTAAAGTCTCTCAAATTTGTGCAGATTTTTAAAAATTCCTAAATATCCATGTAAACTCTTATTAATCGACTTTCAACGCAGGCTGCACGTCTAGGGCCTATAGAACGATCCCTACATACGGTATAGTAACGTGTCGGTCTATAGGTATAGGAGCGTATCTCATCCGACTGGGCCAAAGGGTAATGTATTTTGTATATTTTTATTCCCACTACATCGTTTTTTTTTAACTGAGTCAAATCCGTATATTTTTTTTTGAATGAGAATTTATTGACGTATCGTTAAACATTTTTTAGGAACGTCATAATCGGGGTTAAGAACCCTTAGAGTTGTAAAGAAGGAGTTGGTTGTCTATGAAGAATTAATTCTTTTACGAGGTTTGGGTTCAGTAAAAATAAAAATAATTCTTGAATCAGGTTCAGATTCAGCGCTTAATTGCATTCTCAAAAATATTCAAAATAATTTTTCATTTTAAAGTGAATGATATTTTCCAAATTATCGTCATTGAGTTTTCCACCTGAATATTGCTGATTATTTTTTAACTACGAAATTTTCTAGGCATTAGTAATAGGGAATTTTTGCACATTTATTCTAACCCAAAAAACATAAATCAACAAAATTAAGTAATTTTATAGTATCGCAACAAGTAATGGCCATTCATATTTTAGTGATTAAATTGCTCATTCAACACTCGGTCAATTTTTTCGAAGAAAATATTCTTCTTTGGGTCATAGCTTTACAACTTCAAAGAATAACCCAGATGTTAAATTTTAAAAAATATACATTTTAGATGGCCCAATCTTACTGGTAGAGGCAATCGCAACTTGCTTTATTACCTTTTTTCGTTCTTTTCTTCGGTTCTCATCTTTAATTTAATCATCCAATCAACAATCAACGAATACTTCTAAAAATATATTTTATTTAAACATTCTACGAAATGAATCACGATGTAAATTGAATTTTTTTTTACTTAAAATATAATAGAAAATGATCCGGTAAAGTTAAGAAAAAATGTTCTATGCAGATGGAAAGAAAGAATTTCTTTTCTTTCTTTCTTTCTTTCTTTCTTTCTTTCTTTCTTTCTTTCTTTCTTTCTTTCTTTCTTTCTTTCTTTCTTTCTAGGAAGGATGAAGACACTATAAATGATAGTATCCCTCCTCTTAATAACCCCATTTATTGGGTTTCTGTCACACTTACCTATTTTAACAATAATGACAGGGATATTTCGGCGAGGTCCATTAATTTTTCTTGCACGGTTATCTCCGTTCTAAAACAAACGATTCTCGAACCCTCGAAATATTCTAGGGTTCGTATTCTTGGCTATGCCCCAATCGCGACCAAATAATACCGAATAATTTTTTTTGAAAAAACAGGTGGCCCAGGTGGAGAACAGTCACGTGATATTGACGGGTTCGGCTGCTCTGAACAAACTGTTGGGAAGGGAAGTTTACACTTCCAATTCTCAGTTGGGAGGACTTCAAATAACCCACAACAACGGGGTAGCCCACGCCTCTTGCACCAATGATTTGAGCGCCGTTGCCCTCTTCCTGAATTGGATATCCTTCGTTCCCAAGGTTAAGGAATGCATATGAAGGAAGAGAAAAATTGGGGTGAATTGAGATTGGGAAGACACGTAGAGAGAAATATAAAAAGATCTAATGAGAATGAATAAATGAAAACCACTCCGGTAAAATCTAGCAGCTTTCCAAAAGGAAAAGCTTAGAACTTTAGATACTTGGGATTAATTTTTGATTTTACATATATAATTTAATAATACACGGTTTATAAATTCTTTAGGTAACTGGTGAAAATCTTCCCATCACACCTCTCTACTTGCTAAAAGATCCTGTAGACAGACCCATAGGTATAAAATATTTGCATTTTGTTTAGATCTCCGCATATACCCATAATCTAATAACCACCTTAAAATTAATTCTTTTAAATAGCCTTAAAAATAGTTATTGTACAAGACCTTTTTTATCGTTATTTTATTTGGGAATCTATGTTTTTGAATTGAAAAGTGGAAGAAAAATAATATTTATTAATATCGGTTTCATTTCCCCCCTAGGTTTTACGCCTACCAATTCTCCTTACGACCCGAGATGGATGTTGAGCGGTAAAGACATTGGCGCCATAGGTCGCGCCCATTCTTTGGACTCTTCCGTTTCCCCTTCTACCAATGGGAATACTCCTAACTCTCCCGGTCTGAACGCCCCTGCAGAACAGGACCAGCTTCGTGGGTCGAACAAATTTTTAACCGGAATCATGGATATGGGTACATTTGAAATATCTCTTTTGAATATACGTTTATTGTTTAGATGAGGGTATTCTGGATTTCCTGGTGAGCTATATTTAATCGTAACATCTTACTCATCTCATTTTTTTTTTACAGTTTTAAACATACCAAGGGTTAGGCATGACTATATGATCCTTAGAGATTATCTCCTAGGGATATTTTTTGTCTTTATATATATATATATATCCATAAAATGAATTAAAAAAAATAGGTTCATTCGACGAGATAATGAAACCGTGGGCCCCGACGGTTATATGCGGGCGAGCCCGACTTGGCGGGATTCCTCTGGGGGTTATAGCTGTTGAAACAAGAACCGTCGAGATAGATATACCCGCCGATCCAGCCAACCTCGACTCCGAAGCCAAGGTAACTCCTTTATATATACCATTTTGATGAGCACAATTTTTTTTATCATTGACCTTACCCTCGGGGTCGAGACTCGGGTAAAAATACGCGACTCTTGAATAACGCTTTGGGCTTACTGGGTTTGTCCGTACCCCGGAATCATACATTTATATTATCGTGGCTTAAAATCACGTAGGAATAGTACAAAAGATAGCTTGCGTTAGGTCTCTAATATTTAGTGCGTCCTCTGAATTACTATCATCTGCCAGAAGACAAAAATTAACCATCAGTGTTGCCGAAAACCGTGCCTTGCTCAGGACTCGTTCTCAATTTTGGCGCGAAAATTTTCGCCTAAATTTTCTCAATACCTTCTAAATATTAATTTTTTTATATCCTCTTTCCTCTCATCTTAACCCCCCCCCCCTTTTTTTGGAAATAAAACAGAAAATAAGCCAAGCCGGTCAAGTGTGGTTCCCGGATTCGGCTTATAAAACTTCGCAAGCTATAAAAGATTTTGACAGAGAAGGTTTGCCGCTCATGATTTTCGCGAATTGGAGAGGTTTTTCTGGCGGTATGAAAGGTAATACATTTAATTTCTTTTAAAAGAGGCTACTTTTGAGAATTAAAGGTTTTTTTTTTGGATATCCTAACATCAGGGAGAAAATGTTTTGAAAGCAGTTTATTCGAAAAATATCTGGAGAGTATTGACTGTATGTCAGAAGATTGATTGGTTATATAGTTGATGTTACATTTAAATTTATATTTTTATTAGTATTTCATCCTCGCGTATTTATCTCAAAACTTGGGTAATGTTGAGGCTAAAATTTTGATTTTCCCTAACATTGTAAATAATTTAAATATAGTCCTATTTTGATCGTGTTTGAAATTAGTTTGATTAAATTGACAATATTACATTTTTTATATCGCCGATTGAATTAACTGCGATTAAAAATGTTATATGTAAACGTTTTAAAAATGTGTACGATTTCATATTTTAAAAAGACATGTTTGACCAAGTCCTAAAATTCGGCGCGTACATAGTGGACGCCCTCGAACAATATTCCCAACCCGTCATCATATACTTACCCCCTTACAGCGAACTGAGAGGCGGGGCTTGGGTCGTGCTAGATCCAGCCATCAATCCCGCCCATATGGAGATGTACGCCGATAAGGACAGCAGGTAAACTTTATCCATATTTGTGATAGGGATATTAGGGGGGGGGGGGTTAAATATTGAGATTGAATAGGAAAGGAACGAGAACCTTGCCCTATTTTTCAGGTCCGACTCGGGTCTGTCTACACTGAGCTCTGGAAGGAACTGAATTGAAAGATTTCTTCGAAATCAAAGTATCCAAAAAACCCGCTGGTTCTCCCCTGATGGTGCGTAAAATTATTCATTTTCCCGTCGAGTCAGACCGGTACCTTATTTTTGTCAGGGACCTGTAAACCCTGCCCTAAGCCTGGGTACACGGACTGGGCAGTGTTTCGATTTTTTTAATGAACCCTGACTGGGCCGTGCCCGAAATTTTTTAGGACTGGGCCGGCCCAGAGAATTTTGAGCCGTTAATACGGCCATGGCCTTTCAAATGGTACCTCCGCGGGACTCTGATTCTTATCTATCATGGTCACACAATACTCCCTCGCCATTTTTTTTTACTTGACACTTCAGGGGCGGCGTGTTGGAACCGACGGGTACCTGCGAGATAAGATTCAGGTGGAAGGACGTTGTCAAAGTTATCGAGAGACTAGACGAGCAGTGCAAGGAAATCAAAGAAAAATTGCTCAGGAATTCCAAATCCCAGCCCGATACCCCGCCCGCACACGGTAATTGTTATGAGAAGTTCCTTCTTTAAATACTCCTTTTTTTTACGAATAAAATAATGATTATTATTACAGTTCCACCTATTTATTAAATATAATACCACAACGCGCTTGGAAAATTTTGATAAAAATATTTAAATTACTTAAGGTAGGGGGCTAACGCGGGGATTTTTGCACCTTCCCAAACCAATGGCGATTTCACCACCTCCCTTCCATCAAAATTAACTGCAATTCAATAATACTGGGCAAAGGAGGGCATCAAAATACCACTTTACCCCTCCCCGTAGGGTTCGTTTTATATTTATTTGTTTGATTGTTCACGGATAAGATAAATCCTCTACCGCCTCTGTCGCCGGTTCCGACAAGAACGCCGAAACCCAGAGTTTGGGATCCACGTCCAGGGACGAAAAATCTAAACTACCACAAACGCTTCAAGCTTTGGACGAGTCTATCATCAAAGCCTTGAATCTTGAAAGTATATATTTTTTTTTTACAAGTATTTAACAAAATAAAAATTCCTTTAAGAAGGGATTGGTAAGTTTTTTTTTTTTAGCAAAATTTAAGAGCAATTTTTTTAAGAATTCTCATTTGAAATTTTGTTCAAGATTCCTAAAAATTTTTTTTTTATAATCCTACCTCTCAAACACCCGAAAAAATAGGTATTTTCTTATGGTTTAAAAATTTTTGAAAGTTTTGGACATAACCTAAGTAGAAAATATTTGTGGTATCTCTAAAACACATATTTCATGATTTGAAATATTTTTTTTCAAACATTTTTTTATTTTTGAGCATGTTAAACTCTATACTCTTATTACCGTTTATTTTTGTTTGGTGCTAAGGAATAGGATTAATCTCTATTGAACCAAATTTCTTACCACAAAGGGGAATTTTACTCTTTGTGAAGGAAGATCAACAAAATTGAAGATTTTTTTTTTATCTTTGAGCATTGCTAGAATTAGCATCTATATTAATTTCCGAATTCGTTTTCTTAATATTTATGACCAATAAATCTTCCGATTGATTGTGCCTACGAGAAAATTGAGCTGGTTTTGAATTACTTTGGCCCGATATATATGGGTATTCCTCCTAAATTATTTTTTTTTTGTGATGAGCATATTTTAGCTGTTTTATAATCATTTTTTTAAATAGCAATATAATTGATTTCTCCAAGTTATCTAATAATTTTTGGTGTATAAATAAGTCTTTCAGAGAATATCAACTGAAATCTGTCGTTCTAACTGCATTTCCATACATGGGTCATTAAGCTCCGTCAATCATACCTAATTTTAAAAAATATATTATTATATATAGATCATTTATAGTCAGAATAACTTATACATTTTCAACATTAATAAAATAATAAAAAAGCCTTCACATAAGTTTAATTATGTTATCATAGTTAGTTTGTTCATCAAGTTGTTTCACAAGTCATCATATCGTTGGCTTGTCCCAATCGTTGGTTTGTATAAATCGTAAGCTTGATATCATTATCGTAAGTTGTCTCCATAAATCATGATTTTTTTAGCTTGTTTGGTCGTACTCAGTTGTTATTATTATCATTTTTCAAAATTGTTATTATCAGTAAGTTATAATAAGAAATAATAGTTCATCAAATTGGATATAAGAAAAAACGAAGAATGATAAATCAATAAGATTGTTATATAATATTTTCAGCGTTTTGATTTTTTGCGTTTTAGTGTAAGCGTTTTTATATTAATTTACTTTATGCATTTTAATATTTATTTTATATTTTAAGTTATTTATTTAAATAAACAGGTTTTTGTTTAATTCGCACAGGTCTAGAAATAGATAGGTGTTATATCGTTATTATCATTAATTTTTATATTTTTGTCCACACTTCCCTCCTTAAAAGAATTCTTAGAATCATAATTAATAAGTGTGTTAAAACAGTTTCTAATTCTTATTTGATCTAAATGTCTTCTCAAAATACCTTTCTCTGTCTTAATTTGGAACATCATGTCACTTTCTTTATGTGTGATCATACCTTTGCACCATTTATCATCACCTTGTATTTTGTACCAAACAAAATCTCCTACGTTGAAGGTTCTATTTCGTGGTAAAGTAACGTTTATTTTATTCTCCTTCTCCTCCAACGGTTTTAATAAGTCCCATTTAATTCTAATATCTCGATTAAACATTTTCTGAGATGGTGTAACTCCTGTAATATCATTACGCGTATTTCTGTAATTAAATAAAAACTTGCCAAGTGCAATATATAGGTCAATTTTAATATTCCTTTTCATATGTGTTTTGAACGTTCTTACCATGCGTTCTACCTGGCCATTGGATTGCTGATGATAAGCAGATGTGAGCTCATGTTTGATACCATAATTATTGCAAAATTTTTCAAAATCGTTACTCGTAAAGTTAGTGCCGTTATCAGTAACTATAGTTTCGGGTATTCCACATAACGAAATAGTTTTAAAAATTTCTTTTAGAGTAACACCAGTCATAATATTTTTAACAGGAATAATAATTGGAAATTTGCTGTAGGCATCGACTATTATCAACCAATTTTTGTGAAAAACGGACCCGCATAATCTATGTGTATCCTTTCAAAAGGTTTGGTTGCCGAAACCCATGGTTTTTGTATCTTTATAGGATTATCATGATATATGTTACAATTGTCACAACTTTTCACTTCCATTACTATGTCAACCAGGCCACCACATGTAATCTTTGGCTAAGGATTTGATTTGTCCTGCTCCCAAGTGACCTTCATGTAATGACTGTAGTATATTTTTTCTCATAGAAGACGGAATTATGATTCTGTTGCTTTTGTAAAGACAATCCTTAATTATACTTAATTCAAAATCAATGTTTTTATAAATATTATTCATTATAGGCCTGTTGTTCTTAATATCATTTATAACTTGTTTTAATTCCATATCTTTCAAAGTTTCGTCACGAATTTGATTAAAATTAATAGGTAAATCCCAATATTCATTTATTATAGTGATATTTTCAACAGCTTTATCATGACATTCTTTTGGTAATCTCGAGAGACAATCAGGAACAACATTATATTTACCGGCTTTATACTTTATATTAAAATCATATCTTCCTAATGTAATATTCCACTTCTGGAGTCTTAAGGACATGGTGCTATTATCCTTAAGACCCTTGGTAAAGATGTGAACTAGAGGTTTATGGTCAGAAATAATTGTAAATTTCGTGCCGATTAAGTATTCCTGGAACCTCCTTATAGCGAACTTAATAGCGAGAGCCTCACGCTCAATATTGGTGTAGTTCATTTCGGATTTTAATAAATTTCTTGACGCGAAAGCTATAGGTTTTTCTTTACCATCTTTTTTCCGAGTTACAACTTGCCGCTTATGACAGAAATTTAATCAAAATCATCGGCATCACTCAAGTTAAAGTGACTTATGAAGGTATCTCAAAATATTTACAAGCGGTAGTCGTCGAATCAAGTAAAAATGCCTTGTTGGGACGTACATGGATCAATGCTTTCAAAAATATTTTAAATAAATTTATAGCAAATGTTGACACTAATTACGAAGATGAAATAAAAAAATTGATTAAAGAGTGTGAATCCAAATTGACTAATGGGCCAATCAACAAAGCAAGTGTCAAGTTACATTTAAGAAGAGATGCCCAACCTAAAATTATACCGCCTAGACGTATTCCTTATTCAAAAATTGATCTTGTTAGCAATGAACTTAAAAAATGGATACATGATAAAATTATTGAGCCGGTGAATGATGTTCGATGGGCAAGTCCTGTTACCGCTGTCTACAAAGATGATGGGAGCATTAGGCTTTGTGCTGATTTTAAGGACACTGTAAACCCAGTTCTAGAAGATTTCAGATACCCTCTACCACGAATCAATGATCTAATAGCTAAACTTTCAGAAGGAAAGAAATTTACGAAGATTGACTTTAAAAATGCTTTCTTACAGATCCCGATTGATAAAAGTTGCAGAAATATTTTAACCATATCAACGCACCAATTTACTAGACTTCCTTTTGGGCTCAAGACCTCATCTGCAATCTTCCAACAGATCATGGACAAAATCTTCGGTGACATGGAAGACGTCATATTTTATATTGATGATTTACTTATAATTGGAAAAAAACGATGAAGCCCACCTTAACAACATAAAAAAAGTGTTTGATAGAATATCATCGTTTGGGCTAATACCTAACTTCAATAAAAGTGTGTTCTTTAAAAACAAAGTGAGGTTCCTGGGTCATGATATTGACGCTACGGGGATTAATGCTAATCATGACAAAATTAAAGCAATAATTAATATGCCAGAACCAAAATCAGCTGCTGAATTATCAACATTTCTGGCAATGGCTGGCTACTATAGAAAATTTTTGAACAATTTTGCAGAAATAGCCGATCCTCTGTATAAGATTGTCACCAAAGAAAAATGGGCTTGGAACCTAGAACACTCTAAAAGTTTTAATGAGCTTAAGAAGTTGATTAGTCTTCCACCTGCTTTGACATATTTTAAACTGAATTACCTATAGGGATAGCCACTGACGCATCGAAATGTGGTTTAGGAGCTGTATTATTTCATACTGAAAAAGATGGTAAAGAAAAACCTATAGCTTTCGCGTCAAGAACTTTATTAAAATCCGAAATGAACTATACCAATATTGAGCGTGAGGCTCTCGCTATTATGTTCGCTATAAGGAGGTTCCAGAAATACTTAATCGGCACGAAATTTACAATTATTACTGACCATAAACCTCTAGTTCACATCTTTACCAAGGGTCTTAAGGATAATAGCACCATGTCCTTAAGACTCCAGAAGTGGAATATTACATTAGGAGGATATGATTTTAATATAAAGTATAAAGCCGGTAAATATAATGTTGTTCCTGATTGCCTCTCGAGATTACCACAAGAATGTCATGATGAAGCTGTTGAAAATATCACTATAATAAATGAATATGGGGATTTACCTATTAATTTTAATCAAATTCGTGACGAAACTTTGAAAGATATGGAATTAAAAGTCATAAATGATATTAAGAACAACAGGCCTATAATGAATAATATTTAAAAAAACATTGATTTGGAATTAAGTATAATTAAGGATTGTCTTTACAAAAGAAACAGTATCATAATTCCGTCTTCTATGAAAAAAAATATACTACAGTCATTACACGAAGGTCACTTGGGAGCAGGAAAAATCAAATCCTTAGCCAAAGATTACATGTGGTGGCCTGGTATAAACAATGACATATTAATGGAAGTGAAAAGTTGTAACGATTGTAACATATATCATGATGATCCTATAAAGATACAAAAACCATGGGTTTCGGGCAACCAAACCTTTTGAAAGGATACACATAGATTATGTGGGTCCATTTTTCACAAAAAATTGGTTGATAATAGTCGATGCCTACTGCAAATTTCCAATTATTATTCCTGTTAAAAATATTACGATTGATGTTACTTTAAAAGAAATTTTTAAAACTATTTCGCTATATGATATCGCACTTGGCAAGTTTTTATTTAATTACAGAAATATGCGTAATTATACAACAGGAGTTACACCATCTCAGAGAATGTTTAATCGAGATATTAAAATTAAATGGGACTTATTAAAACCGTTGGAGGAGAAGGAGAATTAAATAAACGTTACTTTACCACGAAATAGAACCTTTAACGTAGGAGATTTTGTTTGGTACAAAATACAAGGTGATGATAAATGGTGCAAAGGTATGATCACACATAAAGAAAGTGACATGATGTTCCAATTTAAGACAAAGAAAGGTATTTTGAGAAGACATTTAGATCAAATAAGAATTAGAAACTGTTTTAACACACTTATTAATTATACTCTAAAGATTCTTTTAAGGAGAGAAGTGTGGACAAAAATATAAAAATTACTGATGATAACGATATAACACCTATTTCTAGACCTGTGCGAATTAAACAAAAACCTGTTTATTTAAAAGACTACATAACCTAAAATATAAAATAAATATTAAATGCATAAAGTAAATTAAATATTAAAACGCTTACACTAAAACGCAAAAAATCAAAACACTGAAAATATTATATAACAATCTTTTATCATTCTTCGTTTATTCTTATATCCAATTTGATGAACTATTATTTCTTATTATTCGCAACTTACTGATAATAACAATTTTGAAAAATGATAATAATAACAACTGAGTACTACCAAGCAAGCTATATAACAAAATCATGATTTATGGAGACAACTTACGATAAGGATATCAAGCTTACTATTTAAACAAACCAACGATTGTGACAAGCCAACGATATGATGACTTGTGAAACAACTTGATGAACAAATAGAAATAGAAAAATTTTATGTTAAAATGGAGAATAGCATTAATTGAAGTTTAACATACGTCAAAAAGTAACTTATGATAACATAATTAAACTTATGTGAAAGCTTTTTAGAAGAAGGAGAATGTTATATATTCAAATTTGGACAATTCAATTTATATTTGTACTGTTGTTACAATTCAATTTATTCAAATTATATTTTTATTTTAGTTATAATTTTATTTTATATGTTAACCTTTTTAATATTATATTCTAATTTTAAATTGTAAAAATGTTATATATACCTTATGAAAAGAGAAAGAAGTTAGTTAATAAAATATATTTTTTAAACTCTCCTAAAAATTGTTTTTCTCTTCAGTTTTTATAAAAATAAATAAATCAAATTTTCTCTTTATTTTTTAAACTGTCCCTCTTTTTTAAAAACCTGTCCAGAGTTTGAAGAAAAAAAAATTGCGATTTCATTTTGAAAGATTTTTTTTTGTGGTAAAATATTTTTGTTCAAAATGTTTTTTTCCCCCAAAAAAACTCTGCTGACAACAGAAAGCAAAGATTTCAGGGACCAAACAGGCGAGGAGCAATTGACCTCGGATGATAGAGTGATATTGGAACGTTTACTCAAGCAGAGAGAGGAATTCCTTAATCCCATATACCATCAAGTCGCTGTCGCCTTCGCGGACCTTCACGACAGACCCGGCCGTATGCTAGAGATGGGTGTTATCAAAGTAATTTTTAGATTCCCCCTTAAAATTCTGCCTTGTTGTGTAAGAGCACCAAAAAAAGGGCCATGAATTCCTGTTATTTCTATCGGGCCCAATGACATATAATAATAATACCTAGACAGACGATGCATTCATAATAATGATGCATTTTCAAGCGTCGCAGAAAGCATATCAGCTGGACCCGCCATTTTGTTAACCCATATTACCAATAATTCTCATGTTAAAAATTAACTATTAAATTGGTAACATGTTTCCTTGATATCTCGATGAATAGGCAATTCTTTAACAAAGTTTTACGTCAGACATTGGAATAAATTGGCCTCTCGTTTAAAATTTTCAATGATATGGGTAATTTAAAATGACGTCCTCAGCTGTTTTCATTGATGTACATTTTTAATGAATGCATTGTCAGATTTAGGTATTTATTATATGTCATTGATCGGACCCAAATTTTTCTAGATTTTATGGACCTTCGATCCACCTATTTATTCATTTTTTTTCTCAAAAAGGAAATCGTTGAATGGAAGGATGCCAGAAAATTTTTCTATTGGCGCTTCCGGCGTTTGATCCTCGAAACGAATGTTAAAAATTTGGTTAAATCTTGCTTGCCCACCCTAGGTCGCCATGAGAGCGATGACCAAGCCCACATATTGTCGACCATCCACAGATGGTTTTTAGAGGACAAAGGATCCCAAAAGGTATATATATATATTTTTTTAACTCTTCAACGTGCGTATTAATTGATCACACTGTCATGATTTTAATGCGTTATTCGCTTTTATCGATACATTTTAGAGTGAGCGTTTAGGTTGAACTTATGCAGTCTAAATTCGCGACAAATACCCTAAAAAAATCCGAATTTACTTTTAATGATAGCTCCATTTTTTTTTTGTTTTTGGTTGTCCAGTCAAAAAAAATATCGAACTCATATAGTTCACATTTAAACCAATACCTACCCCAAAGAAGTTTAGGTAATTTAATTTCTTGTTCGTTCTATATTATGTGTTGATTTAGTTTTATCCCTTTTAATTCAACATGTTTGTTTTGTAAAGGAGATGATTGGCCTTCACTACGCCAATCAGAAAATAGATTGTTTTGTAAAGGAGATGATTAAGCAATTACTATCCATAAAAGATATTAAAAAATTATACCCCATACCATATTTTTTTTTACCGGATATTTCTTTTACGTAGAATCGAAACAGCTCGAACTAGAAAAAAAAAATTTTGGTTCCTGCATTTTATTTTTGGAAAAAATGGAGCCCCGGTTTTTAAATGATTTTACCGGATTCCGAAAGTTCTATTTCCGGTTATAAACACTAAAAAAAAATCAAATCCTATTATATTATAAGTCGTATCTCTGGGACGATAACGCCAGCATGGTAGACTGGTACGAACGCCAATTGGATTCGCTCAAGGGTGACTCTTCGATCATACGCGAAAATATCGCCGTGCTCAAGAAACAGAAAATAATCGATGACATGAAAAAGTCAGTCTACGATTTTTAAATATAAAAAAAAAAATGAGTTTATTTATTATGGGGATTTGGGGAACTATTTAATTTTCCCGCCAAATGTGAAATATTTTCCGGCTCTTAATTTTATAATTAATGGCGCTTGATCTTCTATTTGAATTTCCAGGAGCATATCTGCCAATTCAGAGGACGCCTTAGACGTGGCCGTAGCTATAACCCAAACACTAAACCCACACCAGCTCGAAGAATTGTCGAATCTGATCAATCAAACCAGGGCCCGCTCTCCTATCCCCGATATTCCTTCCTTACCCGATCTCCAAACCAATAGTCTTGCTCAAAGGAATGAGACAGAAACTCAAACGCTGCCGGATATACTCCCGGCTAACATCGATAATTCTAATATAACGGGCAATGATTGATTGAATGACATTAATACGGCTAACATCGATAATTTCTGATATAACCGCCACTGATCTATTCAAGTAACATTGATAGACTCATACATTTATGGCGGTTATAATCAATGTCATTGGCTGCAGTGGACGCCATTTTATTGCATATAATTTGACAATTTATAAAACATCGAAAATGTACATTTTTACACAAAAATTTATTTTACTGTAACATTGTTTCCCTTTTTTTTCGACGAATTTTATTTTGTGTGACAACTTTCGGTCAATATTGACACACATATTTAGCTACGAAAAAGAGAAATTCATCAAGAAAATATTCTATGTATCTTGATAATTTTGAAAATATTTTATGAATTTATGTTTAAATATCTTGTCCATAGAAGGCATAATTAACAAACAACGATGAAATAATTTTTATTTTGCAATATTGAAAATGTTAAAAGTCAGTCAGCCTTCTTGGAGTTTTTTTTTATAATAACAAGTTAGATTATTTTTTTTTTCACTTATTATTGATATCATAAAATATATATTATAAAAAAAAAACTAAACCGCATTTTTTGTTATCCATATTTTTTTTTATATGCACCTTATATTTAACAAATGTTCTTAGTAAATGATAATCATGTTTGATTTATTAATATCCTTTTTGTTGAGCTTTTAAAAAAAAATTTATTTTGAACAAACGAAAAACGAATCCCGGACACTAGAGATCTTCAAAAGTAGGCCCAAACCCGGCTCGGCCGGAACGGGCTTCGTGGCCGGTAAAACTTTTTAAAAAAATTTACGGGCCGGGCCTGAAAAATTTGGCCCATGCATATCACTACCTGACACTACCCAATTTTGATATTTTTTTTAAAAAAATGTTTAATCTTTCAAAAAAAAATTATAAATTTCATTCTAAACTTTTAAGTAAAGCAAGCAAATAATAGGTAAAATTTAGCTCATCCGCTTACAATAAACGAGGTCTAAGAAGGGTAAACTAAAATTCAGATATTTGAAGTTCGAAATTTATATTTTCCTTCGATATAAACTAATTAATTAAAATTTAATGGAAAAATTTTAGGGTATGTATTCCAAATATGACGGCATACATTTTCGGTGAAATCAGATTTAATAATTTTTTAAAAAAACGCTCAAAAAATGATTTATTGTTGAAAAAATAACACATTGCCGGGAAAAAACACATGGACGCTAACATATATCTATATTCTAAGAGATGGTATATCATTCCTCGCAACATACATTTACCAAGTTGGTTTCAGAAGAAGGAAAAAGCTCGATTCTTTTTGGATCAGAATCCATAATTATGCGATTATCGATGCACGAACTCGCAGACTAGACCATAAACGCTCTTTCGAAGACTTACATTGTATTAAAATCATATGTGTCAAGTGTCTATCCCAAAATATATAGAATAATTATTGATTCAACAATGCCATTTATGGTAACTAACAGCAACCTAACTGATCCATATTTACGCTTTTCCTGATTTGACTTGGCGGATTCCATTAAAATATTAATAATTTTAACGCTCAATGATTGGTAAGGTTGAAAAGAATAAATAAACGCGGATGGTTGGGTTAACTCACCCCCCTTTTTTTTAACTGTTATGTCCCACTCAAATTTTTATTGCTGAGATATGGATATTTTGGAAATTTATTAAATTATGAAAAAAAATTTGAGGATTAAAGTAATTAAATCAACATTTTATATATATAAAAAAAAAGGTTTAATCAAATTGATCATCAAATTTTTTTAAATGATTTAAAGATACCCAAGGAGCTTTATGAGTAAGAGGCTAAATTAGTTCATCTGCTCTTGTTTATAAGTTGGATCCATTTTTTTGTACGCCCTTCTTAACCTAGTCAATACCAGCAATTAACTAATTGTTAGAATGATATAGTAGCTGGCTACGGATACATGAGTGGGGTTAACTAAAAATTTGGTCGTTAATTTTTTAAAATATTCTAAACCCTCCCAGTTTGTATGAGAAAGTCGCTAAGTTAATTCTCAACTATGCCAGATTTATGCGTTCTATTCCTCGGAGAAAACCTATTTTTCAGGAACCATTTTTTTCTTTAGCAAGCCAGCGCCAGCAGTTAGCTGATGGTTAGAGAAATAGTATCAAGCCAACAAGGGGCTGGCCTAATATATATTTTAGTCATATGTTTAAGTAATTCGCCCCCCCCCCCATATTTCTAATCATTTTAAAAATTTTTTATTGAAATTGTTTTTGTCTCCAGGACATATTTTATGATCTCCTTGATTCGATGCCTATTAAATTTGTTTTTACCAATTATTATTTAAATGCCATTTACAAGTGGACAATCATGTCCTAAATTGATATTTCTATTAACTTTAATAAAAGAATAACAAACAAAAATTTTAATGACGTCAAAAGACTTTTTTTGAGATTATAACTTCATACATGGTAACGGATGTTTATGATAATTTGTAATAGACATTTAATGTCTATATACGGAAAATTTATTGGAATAATTATTTATTGATTTTTATTTAAAATCGATACGATATGCTTACGCAAAAAGAAAAATTAAAAATTCTTTATCCGTTTCATAGATTATGTACTTAATTAGGGTACATACATTATCCTAATTATTGGAATATAATGTATATTATAATTATAAATTTGGGCCTATTATTAACCGTTGTATTCTATCGGGCTCTCCTGGGCGTAATGTTAAAGAATTTATTTTAAATTGATGCTTAGCGGTTGTTAAACAAACATAGATTGGCTGGATATTAATCAAACCAATATATATTAACTAAATGAGATATTTTCCCAAAACGAGAGTTACATCTACCCCACCCCCCTCTCCTCACCTTTGTGCAAATACTAAGGCGTAGATATACAAGATAATATTTGTTTGAGTTAAAATATCTTGATAATAGAGATTTTTATAAAAATGCGATTAATGCTGAGTTATTCACCAAGAAATTAATACTGAAGAATAATGTGACTAAGGTATGGATGGATAAGGGGAGTATTAGGAACAACCCTCGATGATATTTTGAAAACATAGATATATATATATTTTATTTTGCTGTTTGTAGTCTTGAACCATGGAGAAGAGAGAGAGGGGATTTTCTCACTTTATTGATTTAAAAATTGACCATCTATCCCCATAGGTTTGTCCCGGTCCGAAAATCAATATTTTAAAAATTGATTCAGTTTGCCCCAGCCCCAACTTCAAGTAGTTTTGGGTTGGGGTAGATACGGAGTTCTAATATTAATCGCGTGCATTGTTTCCGCGTATAAATGGCGCGAAAGAAACCCGAATAAAAATTTCGTCGCCTAATTTTTTGGATTTATTTATCCTCGCAAAAAAAAAAAAATTACGTTGTACGTTTTCTTTGTTCTCCTTTTTCGTTCGAGTAAATTTACACAACTTTTCACGTATAATCTTTAGATCCTCTTGTAAAAAAAAAAATTGTTATGTTATATGTTATAACATAATGTTATGTAATTTAATTAGCCGGGATTTATTTAACGCATTATCGGTTTCGATTAAAATAAAATATAATATGTATAAATGTTATTTTTTATATTATTTTGAAAGGATAATAATTGAATTATAATGTCTTTCTTTGCCAAAAAAAAAATATAAATTACCTATAATTATAAAAATAATATATAATTTTGGTCAAATTAGAATTTATTTTAATAAACTGGAGTAATAATAAATTTTTGGCTGACAAAATACGAGTTTTTTTTTTTAAAAAACAACAAATTTAAGATATGCTATAATGATCATGGGTAGGGTTAAGAATTAGTGTTATTAAACGGTTCGCTTTGAGCCGATTTTTTAAAAAAGGGCCAACTCAATATTACATCTAGAAAAATGTTATGCAAGCCTAAAGATTTAGCTCGAGGAACAAAGGTCTAGAGATATATTAGCCGTTTAACTCCACTCCACTAGTAAGAATTACGGTATCTTTCGTTATATTATCATAATTTTAATAACAATAAAACCATATACAATATATTAACGTTTTTATATAATTTTCATAAAAAATTTTTTATTGATACAAAAATATTTTATAATTAAAATGTATTTCAATTGCTCAAAATGTGGGAACATTTTTTTTTATTGTTATCTTTATTCTTACTCTATTACTCTTTAAATTACACCTCGATATATAAAATTTGATATTATAAACGTTTTATATTTGTTTGGGGGATTTAGCCAAAAAATATATAACCCCTATTCCTATTCCTCTAGTATATTGTATTTATTATTACAATAAGTCGAGTTCTTAGTGGATATAATTGCAACATTGTCATAAAAAAAAATATTATTTTAGGATAGAAAAATTATAAAAGATTGTATAAATATTACTTAATAAATTGCCTTTAATGGGAAATAATTACTTTTTTCATTTCTTCGCTTTGTAACATTATATAAAAATGTAATAAAAAAAAATAACTTACTTATAATAATCCTTGAATTTTTAGAAATTAAAGAAATTAAAAAAGCAGACGATAATATAATTTTCAAAGATATTTAAAATTTTGAATCGACGATATTAAAATTTAAAAAAATGGCAGCCTCAATTTAAACAATGGAGGCGTCACGTTACGGCAAAAAAGTAAACGCTCAATTTGTGTGCACTATTATCCTGCAAATTTAAACATAATCAAATTTTGAGCTTTTGTTCATCCAGTTTTTCTTTCCTTTTATTAATCATATGTTTTACTTTTAAAATAGTAATGATGAGTGTCATTGATAGCTTTTTTTTCAACTTTATCGGGCTCATTTTTATATAAAAAGAAAATTTCTCAACATTATCGAAAAATAGAGGGAATTCTTATCTAAAATGGGAAGAAGAAGAAGATAATTCTATTTAAAATTAGCTCAAAAATAATGCAATTCTTATCTAAAATTGGCAAAAAAAGGGGGAACCATAGACCAGAGGTCTGATTGGGCCAAGCTGGGGGAAAAATAGAAGATATTTGAATACGGACCGGTTTCCGATTTTAATTTTTCATTTGTCCGCAGAAACTTTCACGTGACTATTCAAAATCTCTCAATTTTAAATCTCGTTTAACGAATAACGATTTTTAAATTTGATTTTGTTATTTCTTATTTTCTTTCTTTCTTTTTCTTTCTTTCTTTCTTTCTTTCTTTCTTTCTTTCTTTCTTTCTTTCTTTCTTTCTTTCTCATGTAAAATTTTATAAGCGCTACACGACGAAAATGAATCGCATCGCTAATATAATACATTATAAATTTTACCTATTTAATAACCAACAACGCAATCGCAATCGCTTGAGCTATTCGCGCTTACTTTAAACGAGGCCTTTAATTCCGCACAATTCTAACACGATATTTTTGTCTGTATTTATATATGAATAAAGTTCACGATAAAGATTCAAAAATCTCGCGGCCATACCCTACTTCAAAATCATATTTTTGTTTTAGTTTTAAAAAATTGGCAAAGTGATTTTGAAATTGAGAGCTTCCAAATGCTCATGTCAGATTTCTGGATGAGTCGTTATTTCGGTTAGGGTAATGCCGGCTTTTATAAATACGTACACGTGACACGGGATACGGAATCTCCGAGGATTTCAGAATCCCAAAGTGAGAATTTGGTTATTCTAATTCCCTCGTTTTTTTTATTCCAATTTGTTAGAACTACAGTCTTTTTATTCTTTATGGGTTCCATAAAAGCATAAAAATTGAACAAGTTGCTAATTATTATAGCTCTATATATATATTAGACCCATGCAGGCCCGGCCCTAAGTCCAGCCCGGGTACACGGGCTGGGCCGTATTTTAATAAAAATATCCGGGCCGGGCCGTATATTTTAAAACCAAATATTCGAAATCGCCATTATTAGCTATAAAAATCAAAAATGAATATATCTATATTTTAAAAAAAAACCGGGCCGGACCAGGTATTTGCAAATGGCACCTCTGCAGGTCACCGAGATATATAAAGTAAAAAAAAATTTTATTATATAAAATTAAGTTCTCCATTAAATTTATTAATTATTTTAAAAATGATAATTTAGATAGTAATTAAATATAATGTTAGTGTAATTTTGGTATAATTTTGTGTAATTTTGCATAATTTAGTGTAATTTTGGTATAATTTAGTGTAATTTTGGTATAACAGATTAACCAAACTAAAAAAAAATAGTCAAAGTAAAGCTAGTAAAATCATTTTTATATTAAATTATTATCTTCAATTTGAGCCGATTTTTAAAAAACGGCTAACTCAATATTTTATCCAGAAAAATACTATGCAAGCCCTAAAGATTTTGCTTCTTAGAAGGCGGCACACATCATAGGATTGAACATCTATTGGCAAAATCTCAACGCTCAGGCAATATTTTCCTTAGAGCCGTTTAACAACACTTAAAATTAAAAGGTGTGATTATCGAAAATGAAAAACATTTAGTTATAATATATAATATATATATTATATAAATTATGAACAATAACACGCTAGATTATTTATAATTATCAAAAAAATTAAGGTAATTAAACGAGATAAACATCCTAATTTTTTTGTAATTCAAAATAATATTATAAGTCAAACACAAAAATTTATATACGAAAAAAAAATGAAAGAAAGAATGAAATAAATAAATTCCCAAATTAAATAATAAAAAAAAGGTGAAAAATATAAGCGTAAAAAATGTAAAGATTTTTAAGGAAGATAAAAAATTGAATCTAGCCAAGGTCTTTGGAGAGAAGACTGCCATTGAAACTTTGGTAATTCGCTTTAAGAATAATAACTGTAGACAGTTCTCCGACTTGAGGAAGAAGCCTTATCGCCGGTATGCTTGTGGATGTGAAATCTTAAATCCGTTCCTTGAAGAAGGAGAATGCAAGCTTACCAAAGGAAGTTACGGTAGTGAATATTATTTGGGTTAAAGTGTGATCTTCTGATATTTCCGAATATTTGGATATTGGATGTTGTTTTTTTGTTCATGTAGGTTTGGAGTTTGGTTGGATAAAGCTAATAGATCTATACAAGAATAGTCAAAAACCGGAAAATCGGCCCCGTTTCGGTAAGATCAGGGTGTTTCTGTTAGTCCATTTCCATAGGACCTTAGTCCTGGTGATTCAAGTATAGCGGGTATTAAGGCGAATTTCAATGCTCGCTGGATCAAGAAATTGCATTAGGTTTGCCTTAGGATGCGTCCTTTGAAAGATCTGCAATGTAAACTGTATCTTCCCTTGCAGTCTATGAGAATTCTGTCGACAGAATAGAAGTAAGGAAAGATTATTGTACAATTTAGGTGGATTCCTATTCTAATGGGTTAGCTCATTATTGGTTAGTTAGAGTTGAAGATTTTTGAAAGGAAAGACTTCCAAAAACTTATGCCCGGATCCATTAATTAAGAAATTGAGGAGAGAACCATCTGTTGGGAGTATGCTAGATAAATGAATTTCAACGCAGCATGCTACAATTGACCTGTCCCAATCCTTCTGTCTATTTATGGTGATGGGATATCGTTAACACGTGTCTGTTATAGCAGGATAGCATCATCTAAGGAAAAGTCATTTGTGAGGTGTGGGACGTGATTGTGGGTTTCGAAAGTAGACTGCCAAAATAAAGGCAATGAAAGCAAGATTGGTGGGAGTTCTAATCCCTAAATCACGACTTTTGGGAGTTCTAATCCCTAAATCCCCACTTTTGGTGGGTAATGAAGCTTGAGCTCAAGCTGTTTTATTGATTCAAAATATTTTCGGTAAGGGAATTACCATCTACCAGTCGAATTGAAAGTGTTGTGATTCAAATTCACCCCTCTTACGACAAATGAAAATAGGATGATTCGAAAAGGTTATCCTTGTTATAATATATGGATTTCATATTACGAAAATCTATCCGTAAATTTCCGAACAGGGTATTTTTTTTAAAATTTTATGGCTCTGACCGAATTAAAAAAATCTGGGCCGGGCCGAAAATTTTTTTTTTTATATAGAAAACCCAGATTCCGCCTGGGAATATAAAACCCTCAGCTGGACAAACCGATTTTTTTTCCCTAATTCCGGACCGGGCCATGCTAAAGGATACCCCTGCTGGTCTCTGATATTTTGTAAGCCATTTTGCTCATAGATGGCAGAAAGATTTGGAAGTCCATTTTGCCTAATTTCGAGGCTCACATAATATCATTTTGCCTAAAATCTTAATCGGGCTTTTTAACTACCCTAAACTTGAACTTCCGGTGCGCTCCGCTACTGAAAAGAGAGTCAACCCCTTTTGGTCCCAACTATATAGCAAATGTAGTGTTTGTATAAGTTTAATAAATTTTATTTTTTGGATCTATCTAGAATCTTGAATTTACGATAATTCACCTATCCTTCATTTTATAACGAAAAGGTTTTTACTTTTTCCCATTATTACCGTAATAATAAATTTGAAAATTAAAAAATAAAAATAGAACATAAACGAAATTCTATTTAATTTTTTTAATTTTAAAATTTATTTTTAAAAAAAATTTATACATGTTTCGTGGATCAATAAAAAGGTAAAAAAAAAAATAAAACATTTTTTAAATGAACTATGATGCTTAATAAATAAAATATACCTTATAAAATAATTTGTAATAGCCAATTATGTTTATATATATAAAGGATTGTAAAAAATACGAAAAAGGAGGTGAGGTTTTAATTTTTTTATATTTAAAAGGTAATAAATTTATATATATTTTTTATTCTGAACTATAGCCAAATAAACGTAAGGAATTTTTAAGATACTTTTGTCGTTCATTTTAAGGTTAAGATAAACATATGGTTTGTAACCGAAGTTTTAAACCCGCGACCTTATGTTAACCGAAAATCGGAGATCTAGAATCTAATTTTGTTAACGGTTCGAGTTAACCGATTTTTTTAAAAACGCCGAAGACAAGATTTTGCGTTATGTTCAAGGGTTACGTTATATAACGCTATCGAAACCACAGCTGATTCTTAAATAGCGCATTAAATTATATATATCTTCTGCTTTATAACAAAATCTTCTGCTTCATGACAAATATTTAATTTAAAAAAAATAAATCTGCTATTTTTAATTTTTATCATCGCAATCGTACCATTCCTTTTTCCTCAAATTTTATCGTAGCGTTATTCATCATAACATTCCATATATTAATAAATTATATCTATTCATTGGTCCGATTTTCTAATTAACGCACCGCTTGAACCTGTTATAAGTTAGCCACTAGTCTCGAAATTTCGTCAATAGATGTTCTTACCTTTTCAGCCATAGTTGGGTAAAATCTCCAAGCCTTGATTAATTTACTTTTTGTACTAAAATCTTGAGTTCATCGTTTTACACAAAAGTTTAACAACAATTACCTTAGATCTTTAAAACAGGGAACAATTGATGGAACCCGAAACCTAACCTAGAAAACATTCTAAATTTATAGGAACCAAAACCGGAATCCATCTTGAAAATTCTAGACGATTCTAACAAAAAAAAACATGTGTAATTTATTTTATACATATATACATAGCTCTTATTTTAGTCACCTCATAGTGTTATCCTTTATCAAACATATGGTGTCCTCTTTCTAAGGCTTTGAGGAGAGGTGGACACTATATTTTGGGAAAAGTGTCACTATTAGTTTGAATAAAAGGACACCATACGACTAGAAAATAGCATAATATATATGTTGTTTGAGACGCAAAAATTTCTGATGGAGGCTGCAAATTTTTTAAAGAAAATTTGATTTTTAGAATATTTATAATGGGTAAATATGATATGTTTTCTAGAATATTTCCATGGGGGGGGGGGGGGCGCTGCTTCCTAGAAGTCGACGCTTATTCAGAATTCTAAAGAGTAAATATATAAAAAAGACAAACCTGGAATACAATCTCAAGATTAATTCTTGGGGCTTTCCTTTTGGTTAAATTTTTTCTAAATTGTTAGAAATTCAAATTAAGCGATCAATCAAACCAACGTTTTAATTTTCTGTTAGATAATACATGAAATAGCTTTTTTTTTAACTACCCCTCCCCACCCCCCCACCCAGTTTTCTTGGAAATCCATAGTATAGAATGGTTCGAACGTCTGTAAATATTTTCCCAAATCGTGGTTCTAATTCCTTTCCCTGATTCTATTCTAGTTCTAATACCGCATCTTAGATTTGTCCTGATTTCTAAAGTCTCCTGTTCGTCTTTCACTCGAAAATCGTAATTTCTTATTTATATTTTTTCCCCAATCATTTCTCTTTAAAATCTTAATAACTTGGCTCAAGGTATGTTTTTTTTTGAGGGGGGGGGGGTAAATTCACATGATATATTAAAGTAAATCAAATCTAAAAATCCTTAGCCTCATTATATTGGTACATAAAAAAAACAGTGAGCCTTTATATTTGAACAACCATCTAATTCATTCAAATAAGACTTGTAAGGTCTTCCTTGGTCTGGGAGATAAGGTCAAAGGCGTATACAACAATTGACCCCTATCAATGATTTGAGGACTCTGTATTTGTAAAATTTTATTGCCCCCCCCCTCCTTCCTCTGCAAGGGTTGCGGGGTTAGTTGTTAAATCTATATATAGGGTGTAACTATTGAATCCCTATAAATTACAAAGTATAACACGCTCATTGGTGGTTAAATGTCTCGCCTTTCGTCAAAATAGGGTCAATCTTAAAAAACAGTTATTTTTCGGCAAAATGGTATATAACTCATTTCGTATCGTAATATTAAAACCAGATCCTGCAAAGGTCAATTAAGCTAGGATTGGTTTTTTTTTTAAAAGCTATGTATCAAAAAGGAAAATTGAAAATATCCAACATTTTCCAGCTGATTAATTTGATATAATTCAAATTTATAGTTTAAAAAAAAATCGACCAATCAAAAATTATTCCCATGCCCACCCGGATATCTTAAGGCCGGTACGGTTTCTAAGCCAAACTTTCGGGTATTTGGTTCTATAGTATATACATTAATTTCTCTATTTTGCCTCCAAACTCCCTCGTGGTGGGGTTGAAAGTCAGAGGTAAATTTTATTTCTCCCCTAAAAAAATATTCTTAGAAAATTTGGAGTAAAAATGGTATATCATCTCTCCCATCCGAACATAGGGAGAATTCCCTGAATCCTGAGCAATGCCGTCTACGCGAAAATTCAAACGTCGAATTGAAGTAAGTAAATATCATTTTTTTAAATTTTATTTATTTTTTTTAAAAAAAAAACATAATTTTTAAAATGGTAACTTATTTTATGTTGCTCAAATAGACCAGTGTGTGGAAGGAGGTGGGGGGGGGGGCTTTTATTTTGCTTTCTAGCAAATACATTTGATTGGGTGATTCTATTGGCTGGATTTTAAAGAAACTGTAAAATTTTCTAAGGAGAATGGTATATCGCTTTCCGTTCTACACTTGATTACGCTAATATGTAAGTGTTTCATAGACCATTTAAGAATTATGCGTGATCTGGATCGCGTTAGGAGAGTATGGCGTAATATTTGAAATTTAAATCATATGTTGCGCTAAATACTTTTGTAGACAGAAATTATACATACCCTAAAATTTGAATCGATTTTTTCCAATACACTTCTTATATATTAATAAATTAAAGTTTTCTCCAAAACTTCGCGATAAAATTGCTTAAAACCTAGAGGGTATATAGGTATATTAGATATGATAAAAAAAACAGTTCTTTTAATGAGGAAAAAAACAAAGTTGTTTTTTTTTCTTCTGTTATTTTAAAAACAATTTTCCTTTATAAAAATTATCTAAAATCTATCAAATTTATTGGTTAATTTTTCAAATGTCACAATCATCATAATTTACCAATATTTTTTTTTGGAAGTTTTTCATTTATCAAAATCATTTTATTATTCGTTCATTTTATGTTAAATTGACCCATGCTTTCTTTTTTGTCCTGTTATTTTAGATGTTTTTTCAGCTGTTTTTTATTTGTTTTTTAAAAAAAAGCATAATATCCCTTGTAGGTGGGCATTCTATAAACATGGTTGAATGGAAAAATGAGATATTTCAAAAAACCCATACTATAAAGGAGTTAAAATTTTAAATATTCCTTACATAACCTTATAAATTTACTTTAAAAAAAAATTTGACTTATTCATTAGATTAATTTTATTATATTCTTCTCGTCTGCTTTTCTTCCAATACTCGAATGGGGAAAGAAAACCTAAATGCGCATGTGCGGCATATGAAGAAAGAAACGAAAAGAAGAGAAAGAGAAAGAGAAGAGAAGAGAAGAGAAGAGAAGAGAAGAGAAGAGAGAGAGAAGAGAAGAGAAGAGAAGAGAAGAGAAGAGAAGAGAAGAGAAGAGAAGAGAAGAGAAGAGAAGAGAAGAGAAGAGAAGAGAAGAATATATCCCACTTTTATTAAACTTATAATATCGTCAGCCCAAAAAATTTGATTTTACCAGATTAAATCCCACTTTAGTATATATATAATACAAAGTTTTAAATTTAATTTTCCTATTTATTTTTATTCAGAATAATTTATAATCTTTATGCAACGTCCTTGGTCTTATTTTTTCAAAAAAGTAATTAATTGAACCATTTAGAATATGGAAAAAAATATTTTATTTTTAAAATTCATTATTAAAAGCGTGATTAGTCATCTCCATCGGGCTTAATTTTTCAAACCCGGCCCGGCCCGAAGTATTTTAAAAACGTTATCCGGCCCGAAGTATTTTAAAAACGTTATCCGGCCCGAAGTATTCTAAAAACGTTATCCGGCCCGAACCCGAAATTTTTAAAATAATTTTACGGCCCGGCCCGTATTTATTTAAATATAGAAATTAATTCTTTTAAAAAATTATAATTACCCAAAATAAAAGATATGTGTCGTATGACGTCTAGTTTCTATTTTAAATTAAAAATTTTAACCTAAAATTGATAAATTTTAGATATATTTAAAATAAATTCCAAGGCCCCACCCAGTCTGAACATTATTTTTTTTTAAAAAAATGGGCCCAGCCGGAGAAGAAGCCCGTTTGGGCACTGCTCGGTCGGGTAGGACCGTACCGGGCATATTTTTTCAGGGTCCTGGATCACTCCATTTGGCGGTAATTTTGATAACGTGAACTTAATCTAAAACCTGTTTTCTAAGAAAGGGGTCCGAACCCACCTCGGTCCCATGTTAACCCGTGATCGATGGGTTGCCCATATCGGTCACCCTTTAGTCTGTGGTCTCAAAATGGCCAACCAAATTTTTGAACCGGAAACGGTTCCGAAACCCTGCAGGAAGGAATTATATCGCATCAATATTTATCGAGACACGTGGCTGGTTCACGTTTCATTATAGACGCTGTCGCCACCCGGCCCGGTCGGGCTGACAGGCTAGCCTTTCAGTATTCTAACATCCACGACCTTTTACAAATAGTTTTATATTTTTATATTATGAATATACAACTCAACTTAACCAAAATTAAAACGAAATTATATTCCGATAAATTTAATGAAACTACTGAAGACTTCATATCACAAGTAATTACTCAGATATACCATTAAATATCAATATTATTACATTCCACCACCTGATGAGGGTGTTAGCATTGCGAAATTCCCTGTAGTGACCCGAACCCAATGAACAGCATAATTGGAACTCCTAGATTAGTTCAACGTCATTCCGGACCGAAAGGGTCTTTTCAGGTCCCCGTTCTTTAAACCTTTTTTTTAATAAGTTTATACTAAGATGAAACATTATAATTCTAAATTTTGTCGAAAGTTTCTTAGCTAATTATTTAAAAAGGATAAATTTAAATTTCTCATCTAACCTTTTATTTAATTATTTATTTATTATTTGTAAATTTTACTTTTTATTTGATTCCACCTTGTTATTTGAAATTTGATATCAAATATTATTTTAAAATTACAAGTAAATGTCAAAATCAAAACCAATAAATCATTTTATATTTTAACAATAACGATTATCACAGAAAAAAAGGAAATTTGATGGGATATCTATCAGTGTGATTGGAAACGATACTATTGAAAGTAACGCGCTGGTACAAAAAATGTAGCGGGCTATTAGCTACTTTTTTACTCTACTTTTATAAAGATAAAAATTTATATTAATTTTTTTTTTGCTATTGAACGTATTTTAATTTTCAAATACGTAAATAAATTGTTATAAAAATTAAGACCAAAAATGAAATATATATGGCGCCTTAAAGTGAAGAGAAAAGAGAGAGAGAAAGAGAAGAGTTTTAAAAAAAATCTTCTATAGAATATGCTGTTCCCGAACATTTATATCTTATTGGTTTGTTAAACGGCTCGTCTTGGGCCGATTTTTAAAAACGTCTAACTCAAATATTTTAGCCGGAAAAATATTGCCTAAGTCTCCATATTTCCTTAATAGATATCCAAACCCTTGTGCCATTCTATGAGAAAAATCTTCAGAGCTTGCCTAATACTTTTTCTGGATGAAATATTTAATTAACCCTTTTTTTCAAAATCGGCTCAAAACCAGCCATTTAACAACACTAATATCTATGTTAGCTATTATTAGCCTAATTACCTGCTCTTTTGATTCAGTTAAGTTTATATATAAGGCTAATTCAGCTTTAAATTTAAATGTGTCTATCACACATTCCCATGGTCGTATAGATTCATTCGAGAATTTAATTTATATGAAATTAGTGTGCTCATTATGAGAAAAGAATAGCTCTTAAAAATCATCAAAATTGCTAAAAATAAATTTACCATTTGTCACCGCTGTCAGTATATCAAGATCACACATCATCTTAAAATTTCTACTCATACAATAATTGATTTAAATGTTATAAAATTGAAAAAATTTATCATTAATCTGTATAAATGAAAATACTCATTATTTTTAGTAGGAATCAATATTTTTAGTAGGAATAATCAATTTGTTAAATTTGATTTGTGTGGACTTTTCTTGGTAAACTCCAAAGACATATAATAATTCCTAGATAGACGTTGCATTCATTAAAAGTGGACATCAATGAAAACAGCGGCGGATGTCATTTTGATTACTCATATCATTATTAAAAATTTTATACGAGAGGCCAATTAATACCTATATGGCTGACGCAAACTTTATTAAAGAATTGCCTGATCATCGAGATAATAAGGAAGCAAGTTATCAATTTAATAGTATAGTTTTTAAGATGAGAATAATTACTTTGTGGGTTACCAAAATGGCGGTTCCAGCTGATTCGCATTCAACGACGCTTTCATATTATTACAAATGCATTGCATCGTCAGTCAAGAGGTTATTGTATGCATTGGTACACTCAAATTATCGAGATATTTATCAATCTTCGCAACACTTGGAGTGCGGACATTTCTAAAATTTAGAGCACTTATAATTTTATCAAAATCTGTGTTTAACAACACCTTTAGAAGTTTACTTTTCAGGTTAAAGCTGCTTGATTTCTATTGGTCGATATTTCGTACTACGCCAATCACTACCACCATTTTTTTTAAATCCTATTTTGCTCGATTCTCGATGGGACCAATATTTATCTGGATTTAAAATCCATAGGAGAAACCCGATATTTTAGCCAAAAATATTAAGCAAACTTGGAGATTTCCTAGATAGTAGAATGGCTGGCCATTAACGAAACTTTGAAGCTCGCTTAATTTTTTGGGTTTAAATATTGTGGCCGTTTTAAAAAATCGCCACTACCCCTCCCCCCCTACCCCCTTTCACTAACTAAAACTATAATCTATATTATATTAATAATAATAATATATTTAACAAAATATAAAAAAAATTATGAATTTATTATTTATTGCACGTTTTTTTTTGGCTGACCATATTCTAATGATTGGATGTTATTATGTATAAAAGATTTTTTTTTTAAATTGTGCATCTTGTGACAAAATAATATTCCTAGTTCCCGAATGGATATTGGAAAAGGATCTAGCTGGCATCATAATTTTTTGGAGTTTGAAATAATTTTTTTTTTTTTACTTTTTGAAATTATATTTGAATTCACCGTAAATCAGGATACGATTATACGCTTGAACATCTGATCTAAAACTTTATATCAGGACATGATTATATATGCATGAACACCAAAAGCTAGAACTTTTATCAGGATATGATTATATATGCATGAACACCAAAAGCTAGAACATTTTACAATGAAAACGGAAATTAAGTTTTAAATAAAAATTGGAAATATTTTTATAATTTATACTATTTAAAATTCCTCGTATTTTAAAAGGAAGGAAGGAAAACGGATGAAAGAAAAATTTTATTGTCCTAGAAAAAAAAAAATTATATGAATTTGTGGGAATCATTTTATGTATCGCTTCGTTTTATTTTTTTCCCTGCCAATTTGAAGTTGACTCCGGAAAATTGCCTTAGATCTTTATATTTTTTTTAAGGAATATAACAGCTTAGCCTCAAAAATTCAGTGCCCTGTAAGGAAAAAAAGTCTGAACCATTTTTTTTTTAGCCAATAAAATTTACCTAAGCCTCAAGTTTTGGCAAAACAGGACACACCCATGGGGTCTAAGATCGCATTATTTTTGGCTAAAAATCTTGATTTCTCTTGAGAGTTTCCTACAAAACTAGACCCTAAAAGATTGGTACACCTGCGCAGTGTTAGTGTTAGAGTCCTTGGCATCTTTACTGTAATTTTTTTTATTTGCTGTTCATGTCTCAATGTCAAACCCTTTAAAAATCTTCTTTTTTTTAAAAAATAAATATTTTTTTATACGAAAGTGATTTTATTCTAATATAATTTAAAAATCTAATATGTTTTACATTTTTTTTTGTCTAGTTTTTCATTTTTATCTCGATATTTGTTATTTATTTATCCTTATTTATATTGGCTCTTCTTTATTAAAATTAAGGTGTTTATTTGCGGAACTGAGGAAATAAAAAGAGGCCATTTAAATATAGTCAGATCCTTTAAATATCTAACTATAGTGTAAACAAAAAAAATTATAAACTTGTTTATTATTCTTTGTTTTGTTTTAATATTGTCAATCCTGGCCATCTTCCCGATTGGCAAATCATTTAAATCCAGTTTTGGGGGAGTAGGAGAGGGGGGGGGGTGTCACTTAAGATTTGGAGAGTTCAAAAAGTAAGAATTGGCTAATCTCCCTAGGGCCAGTTAAAAGATTATTTACAAGTTGCCGGCTGTTAAATTGAATATATTTACATCAGGGACCTATAGGCCCGACCCAGTCTGCCCCGGGTACATGGGACGGGCCTAAAAAAAATACACGGGCCGGGCCTTGCAAATGGTACCTCTGCGGTTCTCTGATCCATATTATTTTTAGGAAAACAAAATCAATTGAAATTTTGCCAAGGTTCAAGTAGCTCTGTTTACGTTATAACCCTAGATTTTAAAGGAAAAATATTACGCACGCCTGGAGATTTTGCTTATAGGCAGCGGAACGGTTTGAACGGCTATAAGCGGAATCTTGAGGCTCGCGTCGTATATATATTTCGCTAAAACCTTAATTTAAAATCCGCTAAATCGGCATTTTTTAATCAACTCTTGTTCTAAGTCAGGTGACCCTATATTTTTTTTTACCAGGTCCGGGTGAAAATTGATAAGGGTCAGATCGTTGAGAATTTGGTTCATTGAATATATCAATCTAATTTGCGACGAATAATTTTTCCCTCCGCATAAGCGATATTTTAATTATCCTTAAATAAAAATAAAATAAAAATGGGCCTAAAATAATTAATTCCCATAAATAAACGTAGCTAAAATCTTATTTTTTTTTTCGATTACGATGAAATGTCCGCGACTTTCGTTAAAGCGTGTAATAAGCGCGACTTAATTCAGCGTTTGCGTCTCGTCATTCAAAATGCGAACAATCCGATTCGAATGGTATCGTGATTATAAAACATTTAATAAAAAAACGCAAACTGGTTTGATTATTTCTTTTTTTTTTTGAATTCGCTCAAGGTAATATCGCACACTAACCCTGAATTCATAGTGCCGCGATCGCGATTTAGACGCGATAAATACAAAGTAGTAAATATCGTATCTCATTTAAGGTTACCGATAGCGGGAATCGAATCGAGGTAGCTAGTCGCCGCGATTTTTAAAAAATACAAATCCATTTTACATAAGATAAACAAGTCTATTTATTAACATTTTAACCTTTTATAAAAAACACAATAAAAATACTATACATGACTCATTTCATTCATAATATCATATCTCGCACTAATAGTTATAAAATAACCACAAATTTCATCATCCTTTTTCCCTTATTTATTATCGAATTTTTTGCTTATCTTTACATCCTTATCGAAACAAAACTTTATTTCAAACAAATGAAAGTAAATAAAAATAACTTATGACGTTGTCAAACGACAAAATCGCACACCTTTTCAAATAAATAAATAAAAATCAATCAATAGAATAAATAAATAAATTTAATTTTAAATCAAAAAACAAATTTTTTAAAAAAAAATACGCAAACACACCCACCTTTTCTTATAAATATAAATTTTATTTATTTATTATCGATTATTATTTTTATTTTTTTTGAGGAATTTTACAGAAAATTTAAATATTCTTTTTTTTGCTAATTATATAAATATAACATAAAGTGACCAATAACGCTCACCTTTTCAAAATAAATTTTAAAAAATCAATCAATAAAAAAAATTAATAAATTTAATTTAAATCAAAAAAAAACAAATTTTTAAAAAAAATCAAAACACACCCACTTTTTACAAATATATAATTTTTATTATTTAATTAATTAGTGATTTATTATTTATTATTATTTTGAGGAATTTCTTAAATATATTTAAATAATAATAAATTTAAAAAAATTTTCATTTCCTGTTTTTTTATTTTGCTAATTATAAATAAATATTAAACATTTTTCTCTTCAAAAAAATCAGTTTTAAAAAAAGTTTTATTGAATAATTTACTTCTTATCTACGATTGGTCAAAATAAAAATATGTTTTCGGCCGCGACCTTTTTATTCAGTTCTCTAAGTTCTCACGACGCGGGTGATTTCTTCAAATCTTCGACGGAAAAAAGGATTCAAGTAAAAATATATATAGAAAACCTCTTTTTAAAAAAAAAATATATTTTTTTGTCCTAAATATCACTTAATACTTTCGAAACGGAAATAAGCTGTTTTTTAATATAAAAATAAAAACATGTCCTAAGCATAATTTTTTTTTAGAAAATATTAAAATTTTAACATACGGTTTTGGTTAAAATTTAAAAACTTCTGAAAAGTATTATTTATTTATTTTTTGTTAATTTTACCAGATTTAGGACGTTAAGAATAGAATGGAACGAGAATTTATCCTCTTCCATTCTTTTCTCATTCCATTTCCATTCCACCTTTTTTTTTGTGTGTGTTTATCTTAAACGAAAACGCCGTTTCATCCATCAATTAAATATTTTTTTTTTCCGAACTTTTTTATAAAAATAAAAATGAATTTATAACCTTTTTTACAATTACAACTCATTTTTTAATTTTATTTTTAAGAATATAAAGGTTAAATTTGTTTTACAATTTGCTTACTTTTACTTCATTTCATTTCAAAATTATGTTTTATCTTTTCTCTTTCTTTTTTTTTGGACAAATAGCTGTGTAAAGAAAAGAAAGAAAAGAAAGAAAGAAAGATAAAAAATGGCAATTCGTACATTCGGTTAGTGTGATGATGACGTGCCACTAGTATTGTTAAAACGGGTTCGGTTTTTAAAAAAAATGGCTAATTCCAAATTTCGTTAACAGATGTTCGAACCTTTCTGCCATATATTATGAGCAAAGTCTCCAGGCTTACTTAGTAACTTACTAGATGCCATTTTGGTTTTTCACGTCATTTATCTCATATAAATAATTTACATCAAATTTATTTATAAAAAAGTCTCAACCCTGCTGATTCATATTTAACGCGACGCGTTACAGAAGTGCCATTTAAATGATACATTTATTATAATATTGTATGCCATTTGACCTTTTCACCTACATTTATATCGAACCATCTTTGAACATTCCATTCTCGCGCCAAAACGAGCGCTTCCCCGCTCGCGCCAAATCTAAATAACCTCTCCGAGTCGTCATTTTATTGAGGTTTTTATTTGAAAAATAAAATATTTTGATTGACCTAATACGCGAACTTTAAAATCGTTTTATTTTCTTTTTTAATCTCTATTTTATTTGCGCTAAAGCATATTTTATTATATTTTTTTTTTATTACCAGTTACTACATAAGAACATTTCGGAATAAATTAAAATTTTCTTTTATTTTATGTGAATAAATAAATAAGAAGTTTAAGTTTATCGAAAAATATTTAAAATGGATACTATGGTTTAGGTACCGCCATTTTTTTAAAAAAAATTTGCGGTGAACTCTGGCCCCAGAACCAACGCGAAATATTTTACGCCTCAAAAATACGGTTCCGCTTTCGTTTTTCTTCCCTGGTAGTCTCTAAGGAAGGTTCCTGCGCATTGAATAGATGCGGCTCATGGGATTTTTCGATTTAACAACCAATCAAATAAACTTAGAATCATAAAACTCGCCAAATTTCGAAACGCTTTTTCGAGCGGATTTGCGGCTGCGCATTAAGATAATTATGCCATTTTAAATAAAAAAGAGGAACAAAAATTTTATGCCCTTTAGCAAATCTTCTTATTCCTTAGAATTCCACCTTTACAATCCAATTCTTCTCTCCGAGTTTTGATTCAATTTTATACCAAGACCTTTTCTAACATGGTTGGGTGGGGACGTTAGGACGATAATCCGCCTCATTCAAATTTCATTAGAAGGATCTTCATTATCAGAATCAGTATCCATTTTAGAGTTCTCGGAATGTTGGCTTAGGAATTTCTACCTGCTTTCACCGTGCAAATGGCGGCTCGTATAACGTGTTTCCGGTTCCGAATCCTTTTTCATAGAAACTTCTTTAAAAAAGTGTTAATGTTATGTCACATATGGAGTAAGGATCCGCTTATCAAAATTATTAATAGGTATTTTGTCTGCCAAAAAACATGCATTTTTTTTTATTTTGTTTACGATGACTCATTAGCATAACACTGCTGGAATTCCTTTTTGAAGATCTTAATCCATTCTCTTCTTCTTTTTTTTTACCAGGACAGGATTTCAAAAATCAAAAAATAAAGTAATAAAAAAGAATTTAAAAAAAAACAAATCGTGGTTTCGGAATGATGAATTCCGCGTTGTTTTTTATCTAGAAAAAATTATAACAAAAAAATACGACATTTTTGTTTATACCATTTGGCCTTCAAATAAGTGATGATATTATATGATATCATCGATATCGAATATCATATAGTTTTACATTTATTTTTAAAAAATTTATTATTTTTATTTTTAAAAATGATGTAATTCGTATCTTTTATATATATATATACTTTTTACCGAAAAATATAAAAATTTAGGCCTGTCTCCAAAAATCTTTTTAATAATCGAAAAGTTTTAAAACTTTTAAAAGTTTTTTTTTAGAAAATTTTATATTTTTCCAATTTTTTTTTTTTAAAAATATTTTGGATACGTGTAACAAAAGAAATTTAATCTTTTTTTTGTCGGTCTCAAGCCCGACCCAAATAAAACGATAATTTATATATTTTTAAGTATTGAATGGTCGTTAATTTTTAATTTATAAGTTTACAAAATGTCAAACTTCAATGAAGGGGATAAGAACTACGCATTATATAGTTTGTTATAGTGCTTAAACGACTCAATGTTTTAGCCAGAAAAATATTGCATGAGCCACAAGATTACGCTCATAGATGTCTAAACCTTTGTTCCTTCTACAAGCAAAATCTTCAGGGCTCGCGTTATATTTATTCTGGACGAAATATTGTGTTAGCCGTCTCAAAACGAGCCGTTTTATCACACTATTTTGTTCCAAGATCTTTTTTTTTTTATAATACCAAGCTTTATATAAATTTTTTTTCCATAATATTACTTTTTTTAACCTTAAACTAGACCTGAATTACCCGTGCCATCATACCCCTCACTCCCCTTTAAAATTCACACGATTGTGTTATAAAATCATTTTTGAAAGTTTTACGGATTAACGTTTATCTGATCCAAATTGACATTTGAGAAATGATTTCAAGATAATGAAATGTTTAGATCTACGGCTTTAACCTAAGTCAATTCGTGGCCGTTTTCGCGTCTCATTCTAGCAGGTCCGATTCTACCCAATTCGAGTTGGTCGGATGCTGGCACAGATTCTCTTAGGCTAAAATAGCTCGGACATGTCCTTTATTTAAAATAAATTTGGTCGATCGCGGATGTAAATCTAAAATAACACCTAGACTGAAGATGCATTCATTAAAAGTGTACATCAATGAAAAACAGCTGGGGACGCCATTTTGGTTACCTATATCATCATATGCAAATTTATTCCTATGCCTGACGCAAACTTTATTAAAGAATTGACCGATCATCAAGATAATAAGGAAGCAAAATATCAATTTAATAGTAGTTTTTAACATGAGAGTAATTACTATATGGGTTACCAAAATGGCGAGTCCAGCTGATTCGCATTCAACGACGATTTAAAATGCTTTATTATGAATGCGCCGTCAGTCTAGGCATTATTATATGTCATTGGTTGAGCGATACTTAAAAACGCATTTTATTGGTATGAATTGTGTCAGTCTTGATAAGGTCAATTGAAATGGTAGGATCATACTTGGAATTTTCGAAGAAAAAAGAAATGTAATTGTCGAATAGAAAAAGAATTTATATATATATTTTTTTTATAAAATCTTGACTCCATTGGGCGCTCAGAGTAAGCGGATTAGCTACTATGACATGAATTAAGGTCAACCAGAGCCCGTTCAGCCCCGGTCTATTTTTTTTTAAAGTTTGAGGATCCCAATAGAACCTAGTTAATTTTATCTGATCTTAAATCCATTTTGAAAAAAAAAATTCCGAGTCTTGTTGACCTTCACTAGACATAGCACGTGACATAATTTAATTGGGACAAGTTTATATTTTAAATATTTAATTTTTGTTTGCTATTATATATCAATCACGCAATTCCTATTCTTATACTACTATTTATTTATTTATTTTTTTAAATGGCGCCCATATTAGAAACAACCATTTTTTTGTATATTGACCCGTAAATATTATACTACTAATTATTTATTTATTGATTATTTTTTAAATGGCAGCCAAATTAGGAGCAACCATTTTTTTTTTAGTAAATTTCGCTTCGCGCCTTTATTTTTTTAAATATATATAAAATATTAACTCTACGCTTTTTAAATCCTAGTTCTAAGCTCGCCCGAGAGTTTTTGTTCCGGAAATATATGGGTCCTGATGGGCATCTAGCTTTATAGCAGTTACCCACTTGGCGTTACTTTTTTTAAAATGTAAAAATTCTTAGCTTTAAAATTGCCTATGAACGTGAGAGGGATGATGGGAAAAGACACACTCCTTTCGGTTATGGTTACACGAAAACCCATAGGTTTGTTCCATATTACGATTGAGCCTTTGGGGGGCTAAAAATGAGCTAAGTCGACTAAAACTGTTGGCGTAGTATCTTATGAAGAAACTCAGCTGAACACGGAGGCGGCAGTTACTTTATTCGCACCTTCTTCAAAAATTGACCTGTATATACCATTTTTTATTTTTTTCTTTTCGGCCCAAAATTTAAGTTTAGCCAATTTTTAATTTAACCGGGTCAATATAGGAGCAATTACCTCCAAATGTCAATCACGCCCCACTCACACTTATTCAATCAATTGAAAAATCTATATTCAGAGGATTCGCCTAAGTTCCAAGACTTCCCAATGCCTTGCCGTGCAAATCATATTGGACTTGACTTTAAAGGGGGTGGTGCCTTGATTTTCTATTTTTTTGGAGGGAAGAAAGGTTATCAAAGGACGATTTGACGGAAAATAATATTCTTCAATTTTTTATTTGTTTTTTTTATTTAGTTTACTTTTTTCATCCTTTTCTCACGCTTAAAACGTTGTCAAATATTTATTCACCAAAAGAGAAGTTATAAAGAGGGGGGGTTGGAGGTGTGTGTGTGCGCAAGCGCTAA